GCCAGCCCCTCTGGGTTTTCCTTCTCTAATTCATCTTCTAGTACTAACAGGATCTCTCGTCTTAGAAGCTTGCCTTCAGTTCTGAGTGATCCCCAGGGACTACCTGGCCTTGGCATTGGCTGCACCTTCTGATAGGACCATGTGGGTCCCACCCTCAGCTGGCCAGCCTGGTTATTTGGGTCATTGGGTACAAATGACCCAAGGAACAGGTGTCGATGACTTCAGCTTTCAGAGAGCCTTGTTCCCCCTTACCTGCAACCCTTAGATCTATTCCTTCTTATCTCTTTGCCCTGGAAGCTACTTTCCAAGAGCCCACATTTTTTGGAGCTGAACTGCACAGATTATAGCTGCTACTGTACTGAGTCAAGGAAGACAAAGGAAGGCTCTTAGGCACAGACTTCCCATTTCTCTCAAGCCAAACCAGCTTAAAAGGAAAAACAGTTTACAGAGTGAAATGGATTTCCATTTTCTTGCGCCTGCCCACCTTTTCCCTACATCCTATAGTTACTCCTGTTTCTAGCAAACTAGAAAGGAAGATGAATGCTGGGCAATACTTCCCTCCTCATTCTATATACCCTCCTCTTTGAATGCCTCAGCTCTTATGTTCAGGCCACATCTCTTCCTTCTGAGACTCACGCAGTTCGATGTCCATCATCTTGGGTATTCTGCAGATTCATCTTATGGGCTTAGATTCTAGATTCTCAGTTGAAAACAGCCAGATTCTGCAGGTCCCTACAGGCACTGTGGGGACCTGTAGGGAAACTAGGCTGGCTGGGGGCCTCAGGAGTGTGTATGACCACCTGCCTTCCTGGCTGGCTGGGGGAGAGCACACTGAACTACAGGAAAATGCTCATAACCAGTAGCATTGTCTTCCAGATAGGACTATCCTAGGAGTGAGCAAGCGTGAGACTGCAAAAATTGCTCAGAGTAGGTTTTTTTCATAGTCGTTTTAGGATTCTAAACCAATCTTGTCCAGTATTTTTTCTGTCTTGTCTTTTGAGTTCTTTTGTTAGACCAACAAGCTGAGAATTTGGCCCTGTGAGGATCCCTGTTGTAGGCTAGCTGCTCTTTGGCCAAGGCCTTCATAAATGATTCAGTCATCCTATTGTCTAGCCCCTAGCCCCCAGCCCCAGCCCCAGATTAAGACCATAGCAAGGGAAGAATTTGTGGTTAGCACCAACCAAGCCTGAATTAAAGCTGTTATTTTTCCTCTGAGGGCATTTTGCCTCAGGTCTGGGCTCTTTGCAGAACCAAAACTGAATATGAGAGAAGAGGCAACATTAAATTTTGGGCCCGAACACCGTGGGAGAAAGGTTTGTGTAGTATATGGTTTGGGCCTACCTCGCTATTTCTGGGCCATCCTGACTGCTGAGGTCACGTTAGAACATACCTGCACCCCTCTGCTAAATGCTAGCCCTGCTTCCCCTGTGTAGGTCAGATTTTCAGCCCCTGGGTTTGAAGACAGAAAATCTTGCCATACCCTGAAGGAAATCAAAGCTCGGATCCTGAGACTGGCTGGGAACCTCAGGCTCAGAGGATGGCCTTAAAGAGGCCACCTCTGTGAGAACCCTCAGGTCCTGTAGTTGGATATTGGCTCTTTTAGCCAATTTCTGTGGGAACTGCCTTTGACTGAACCACTAAAGAAGTGAAAGGGTTATGAGGTCCCAACCACCCAAGACAAACTGGATATCCCTCAAAAGCAGCTTGGGTTCCCAGCTACAGACCCTAGGAAGGTGAATTGAACTTTTTTTCTCACTGGTTTTTCTTTCTGGATCCATTTGCTTTTAGTTTTCAAAGAACTATAAACAAACTCTGGCTATTTTCTATATTCTCAGGACCCCTGGGTAGACAGACAAAGCTTGATTTCAGAGCAGACAGAGGCCAAGAAACCGTGGCATTGAGTGTGCTGAGTCCAGACAAATGATATTTATATACACATCCAAATTTGAAGAGAAAATGTATTTCTTTAGGTTTCAAACACTGTAATAGATATAAAGCAAAAATAAAAACCTGTTGCAAAGTTCTAAATTGTCTTCTTTGGGACGATCCTAGACTGGATTTTTTTAAAGTGAATGAGGAAAGGGTACTTAGACTTGTGGCCTAACAATGGAATTAAGAATTGCAACAGCCTACTCCTACTATAAAGATGTTTTTAAAAATCAGCTTTATTGAAATATAATTGACATACAGTAAATGGCACATATTTTTAAAATGTATGATTTGATAGGTTTTGACATATGTACCTGTGAAACCATCACCTCAGTCAAGATAGTGAACCATATCTGTCACCTCTAGAAGTGTATGCATGTCTCTTAGGAATCCTTCTCATTCAACCCCGAGCAACCACTGATCTGCATTCTAGACAACCGAGACGTTTTTCCCGTGAACAACTTGGTCAAGAACCAAACTGTTCAAGAATTAAGATGTTTGAGAATCAAGGTTTGACTGTACTTGCTATTGGTTTAGATCAATTCTTAAAGCAGGGATTAAGGACAAGCAGCCAAAAAATTGATTCAACCCAAAAGGAGAATTTTGGTTGCCTAATAGTGTGGTTAAGTTTTAATATGTTGCCAATATTTTAAAAAATAAAGATAGAGCTCTGGCCGGGGAGCTCATTAGAGCATGGTCAAAGTTGCAGTTTCGATCCCTGATCAGGACACATACTAGAAACAAGTGGATGCATAAAAAAGTGGAACAACAAATTGATGTTCCTCTTTTTCCTTTCCTCCCTCTCTCTAAAATCAAATATAAAATAAAATAAAGGTATCTATCTTGAAAAATACCTGGCGCTACCAGGCCTGAGTTTCTGCTTGAAAATCTGCAAGAGCTCTATTAGACCACAATTACCACCATTCCCAATGGTGTCCCTCATGGCAGATTTTAATATTGTTGCTCTTTTCTTTGATAGCAAATGAGAAAGTAACTTTTTAACTCATGTTTAGCCAATTTTATTCCTTGCCTGCTTACGCCACTCACTACCCTGATGGCCCCTGTAGGCCACTGTTGATCCTTCTTGTTACACTACTCCATCTCTCACTTGGTTCTTGCTTATTAATGTTCTTCACTGCCTAGAACACCTTCCTATGGAAATCCATCGTCCTGATTTATATATTACTCAACATATTTCCAGCATGCTTTTCTGGAAATAATCAGGCCTTGGTTTCCAGAGACCTGGATTCCAAAACTTCTGGGCTTGAGTTTCACCATTATATTATACTATGTTACCTCTCAGTGTTACCTGGTAAACCTGAACTTGTGCAGCCTAAGAAAGGGAAAGACCACTGCCCGGGAGTCCGTAACTGGGAAAAAAATACTTAAAATCTTTTTTTTTCTTTCATTTTATTGAGAAAGTTATTTTTGTTGCATTTTAACTTTTTATTAAAAAAATTTAATTGTATTTTTCCCATTACTATTTATCTCCCAAAGCCCCTTCCACCTCCACCCACCCACCCCTGCAATCACTGTTGTCAAGGAATAATACTTTACATCTTAAGAGCCCTCACATGATGCTGATTTGCACAACAAAAGTACAGTTAGAGCAAAACTACTGCAGAGGGGATGGGGAGGATTGGCTGGAAATTGAGGTTAAGCATGTATGCATTAAATCCCAGGTGTGTGGATTGTTGGTTTTTATTCTATTATTTATCTATAGGCAACTGGATAAAGAATTGTTATCTCACTTTTGGAGAAAAACTTGGCTTTTTTCACCTTTATCCCCAGTGCAACAGAGATTCTTTGTGAAGGGTGGACCAGAGAAAAGGGTCAGGAATCTGCTGAGGCTAAACGTGCAGGGTCCCCTCAGCCCCTTCCTAAGAGGCACTCGCCCTGGTAATGGAGAGGGGGAAACATACAATCTACTTTTAACAAGTTTTTACGTTGACTCCTCAGACGTGAAGGTTATTCCTTCTGGGTGGGAGGCAGGGCTGTCCAGGAGTTCTGGACTTACTGCTCTAACCACTCTAGGGATGTGACCTTGGAGAAGTTATCTTAACAGTTGCTTCACCATCCTCAGCAGTAAAGTGGGAATAACAAATAGTACTTATCTTAATGAGTAATTATGAGTGTTAAGCTAGTAGATAACGGAAAAGCACACCTTCAGCGCTCAGAGAACTGCTATTGTTATTAAAAGCTTCTCTTTGAATACGGAAATTGCGGCTCTAGGAGAGAAAAGGCCCAGTCACAGAGCAAATTAGTGAAGTTCAGACTGCAATACAGGTCTCCTGCTTCCCAGCCCAGTATTCTGCCCCTCGCCCTCAATTCTCAGATGGTCATATATGTTCACAGCAGAGGGGAAGGGTTTGTGGAAGTGTGTAAGGAAGAACAGCCAAGCGTAAGTCTTTCGGAGCTGAAGCATAGCTTCCGAACGATAGAAACGAGGTTGACATGAATCTTTGTGCAGAATGATTCGCTCCATTCAGACCTCCTGAGTATCCAGCTCCTGGAACTAAAGCCCTTTCTATTGCATTTTGGGAATTGGGACTCATCCCTGGTGCATGGCGGGACATGTAGTCCTTTCCCCTCTCCTCCTTTCCAACTGGCCCGCCTCAGGCCGCTTCGCTTCATCTTTCCCAGCAAGCCCCGCGCGGGCGCCGACTATTGATTGGCTGCGGGGAGCAGGCGGCTCTGCCGGCAGCAGTTACCCAGGGTTTCCGGTGAGAGACCAGAGCGGGCGAAGCCATCAGGACGTCGGTTGTGGGGTCCGTACCGCGAAGCCTAGAGGGACGAGGCTATCAGAGGGTCTGTAGACCTGAGCACTTTTGGCCAGGAGGGAGAATCACGCAGATTCCGCGCGAGGGCTCAGGCCGGGGGGCAGGGCTGAGGCTTGTGCGCATGCGCCGGAGGGCGGGCGGCGCGCGCGGTGGGAGGGCGCGCGGAGCGTAGGTGGCGGTGCGCGCGCGGGTTGTGCGGGCGGGGCGGGGGGGCCCACGTGGAACCCGGGAGGCGGGGGAGGGACCGGGAATCGAGCGTTCCGCCACGTCAGTCACCGGCCGTGAGCCAATCCCACGCTCAGCGGATCTTGAGGGGACCGCATTGTGCCGGGAAGAGGCTTCAGGAAAAAGGAGGCCTTACCTCCCCGGCTCCTGGAGCAGCTACCCGAAAACTTGACATAGCACACCAGGCTCCCCTGACCTGCAAGAGACCGGGAGAACCGTTGGTTCCCGCCGGAGAAGGCCGGCCCGTTTGTTTTAAGAAGCTTCGTGCGTCCGGTATCGGGATTTCTTATCCAGGCTGAGGAGAATTTCGAAGTCTGGAAAATAGCAAGAGTGCTTGTTTCTATAGGATCTGCTCCTCACCTGGCATTGCAAACCACAATGAAGAACCAAGACAAAAAGAATGGGGCTGCCAAACAATCAGGCAGTACTTCCAACCCAAAAAGCAACCCGGGGCAAGCGGAAGCAGGACCAGAGGGAGCTCAGGGGCTGCCCAGCCAGTCGGCCTCTGCGACAGAAACTGAAGGTTCCACCAGCCAGGCTCCAGGGAATACCGAGGGTGTGTGCCAGCTCTGCTTTTTCAGCGGGCCAGGGGAGGCGTTTGTGGTGCGCCAGTCTAGCCTCTGGAGTTAGAGGGCCCTTTTTACCCAGGAAGAAAAAATGTGGAATGAGGGGATGGCAGTGCTGAGTGTGAGATCCCCACCTTGTCCTGGGGATGACAGGATTAAATCGGGCGGCAGTCAAATGAGACACCTAACCTGCAAGTCCAGATTAGAAACACCTCATGCAACAGTGGGCAACTACTCTTTATACTTGAGGCATTTCTGGAACTTTTTTAATATCAAGAAATGATTTTCCTGGGGAGGAGAAGGGTATTGACTAGATATTGAGGTCCTGCTACATGCAATCCATATGTGCTAAATGCTTTACTTATTTGGTTTCTTTTATACTCACAACAAACATAGTTGAGTGGTAGCGAGGAATAGTCATGTCATTTAATAGGTAAATAAACTGAGGCTTTAAACAGTTAGGCAACATTTAACTCAAACCAGTAAGTCTGGGCCTGAAAAATCCCTACCTACCAGTGGAATAACCATCTTATTTCACACTCTGCCCCTCATCCTCTCCTGCCCTAGGAGCACAAGCCAAAACTGCTCAGTCTGGGGCCCTCCGTGATGTCTCTGAGGAGCTGAGCCGCCAGTTGGAAGATATCCTAAGTACGTACTGTGTGGACAACAATCAGGGTGGCCCAGGTGAAGATGGTGCACAGGGTGAGCCTGCTGAACTCGAAGATGCAGAGAAGTCCCGGACCTATGCCACAAGGAATGGGGAGCCTGAGCCAGAGACTCCAGTAGTCAATGGTGAGAAGGAGACCTCCAAGGGAGAGCCAGGCACAAATGAGATCCGAGCAAGTGATGAGGTGGGAGACCGAGACCACCGAAGGCCACAGGAGAAGAAGAAAGCCAAGGGTCTGGGTGAGCAGAAGGCCACCTCTTATGAGGCTGGTGAGGGGAGGGAGTTTGGATCTGACATCCCTTGGGCTAGCCTGCTCTGCTAGGATTAAGAGGAAACCCTACTTCCCAGAGCGATGTATCCCACTAGTTCAATCATAGCCAGGGCCGTGGGGCCGTAGGACAGAGATGTGATGTTTACTGCACAAGAGCAAATGAGAACCAAAATCCAGCCTGCCGTCTGAGAAAATGGAAAGCAGGAGGCCAGGCCAACTCCTGTGCCAGCCAGCACAGCACCATTTCTAGCCTGTGCAACCTTGGGCGAGGCCTTTCTCCTCCCTGGTTCTTAGTTGTCACTTCTCTACAATGAGAGAATTGGATTAGACCAGGGTTGAAAACTCAGATGAGTGAAGCTAGCCAAGAGTCATCCAAAGGGTTGACTGCCACTTGGTCCCAGCAAGTTGATAGCATGCAAACTACAGGCTTAGTCTAGACAGCAGCCGCCGCTGCCTCCTTCTTTTTTTTTTTTTTTTTTTTTGGCCAGTTATGTGCAATTTCTAGATTTTTAACAGTTGGCAACTGATATGCTAGGAGCCATGCAAAACCTATCTGTGGGTTGGATTTGGCCTATGTGCCAGTGATTTGCAGTCTCCACACTGATCTCTTTGAGCCTCCCAGAGTCTCCACTTCAGAAGCCTGGTGCTGTGCTATGTATGGTGGCCCTCCAGGGAGACAGGGAAGAATCTGACTCAGGAAGAGGCAGTGGGGTAAAGTCATTTGGGTGAGGGTAGAGGTAGGGGGCTAGTGTGTCTTAAAAGATTAAAGCCTAGTAGTATTGTACCCATGTCTTAGTCCCTGCACACCCACCAGCTGTCATCCTAATTTAAAGAAAGTTTTTTTGTTTGTTTTTAATTTTAGGATTAAATATTGGAAGGTATATTCAATTGAAGGTTCCCTGTTTGGCTGCCTCTGTTGATAAAATAGTTCTAAAGGAGACCTATTCCTTTTTGCATCCTTCCTCTTTCAGAAGGGCCTTCCTTGCATTGAGCAGTAGTAGTGAATTCACAGGTGGGACAGTTCTTAAACCTGTTGGTAGAGCAGGCAGTTTTGGGGGATTTTTCTCCCATTTCTGGTGCTCAGCAAGGAGATTCCACAGAGATTGTCATTCATTTAGTATTTGTTGAGCATGTCCTCTGTGATGGGCACTAGGGGCAGCACTGGGCTGCGGTGATAGAATGGAGGTGATCCCAGCCCTCATGGAGCACACAGACTAGCAGGGAAGGCAGCCAGTTCAACAAATATAAAATATGATGGGAAGGTCTGCCTCAAGGCAGAAGAGTATGGGCCCAAGCCTGGAAGGGACTCCCAGAGAAGTGAGTGCATGCCTTTGTTCCCTGTACTTTGCAGGAAAGGAGATTACGTTACTGATGCAGACATTGAACACGCTGAGTACCCCAGAGGAGAAGCTGGCAGCTCTGTGCAAGAAGTATGCTGAACTGGTCAGTTCTCCCCCTTCTCCTTGCACCATCTGTGCCTTGGGAAGTCAGCACACCACCCAGCATGGGGTTGAGGGTACAAGGACAGATAGGTGGCTTAATTCCTGTTCAACCTCTCTAAGCCTTTTCCTTATCTAACTTAAGGGTCAGGTCCCAGCCAGCCTCTTCCAGGCTGATGCTAAGAGGAGAAATTTCACATTCCAGTGGTAGAGACCTAGCTCCTTGCCTGAGTCCCAAATGTGCTATGTCACCTCTCCCCTGTGTTCTTCAATATGCATCTCCCCCAAATGTGGAAATGCCTGTTGCCATCATCACACTTAATGAAATTAGTCACATAACATTTTCTTAACACCCAGTCCCTAGTTCTATTTCCCCAGTTGTTTAAAAATGTCAAGTTTGATCGAACCAGGGTCCAAAGGAGGTCCATTTTTTACATTAGGTTGTTACGACATTTTTTTCCCACTTTACTCCAAGGCAGTTTTCATCCCTATGCCCTGCTCTTTTTCCCGTAACATTGACTTATGGCAGGTCAGTTGTCCTGTAGAGAACTCCACTTTTTCGCTTTGTGGTGGCATTTAACTTATTCCTTTACCTCCTTAGTTCAGCTCTAGAAGTTTGATCCAATTCAGCTTGTGGATGTTGAATTCTTTGTGGATGGATCACTGGAGAAACAAAGTGTGATCATCCCATTGTTAAGAGATGAAAGATTGTTCAGTGGGTTCAGATGGCACCAAGCTGGTCCCTCCTTTGTAAGGTTCCCCCGTCAGAATTTGAATTAACAGATTCATCCACTGAAGGTTATTGCCTAATTACTTAATTTTAATTTTTTTCATTCTATTCACATGTATTACCTGGAATTCTCCTGTAGGGAACTTTTCTCATCTATAAAATGGGGGAAATCATACTTGCCTAATGGGGTTATTATAATGATCAAATAAAGCAAAGGATGTAAAAAGATATTACCCTTTCAGAATGATCCAGCCATGGAGAGATAGATGGTGGCAGAAGAGGAGAGAGTGAGTTGCTAGAATGATGTTCTTGAGTAGATGAGAAGAGATGGGGTCTGTTACACCAGGAGAGGGGTTTGCCATGGTGAAAAGCAGGGCCAGGTCCTCGTGACAAGAGGACAAGGGTAGGTGGACTGGCAGGTATGAAGCTTGTGCCCCTGCTCCTCTGGTTACTTCTGTGCCCTCAGGGAAATGGAAATGATAATTTTATCTGGGGCAGGGGAGATTTGAAGAGAAGGATGAAATAGTTGTCTATATTAATATGAATAATATGAGAGTTATAGTAGAGCTGCTAGGCAAACCAGGGGGCGGTGGTGGTCGTGAATTTTAAAATGAGATTTTTTTTGTCTGTTTTTTTTTTTTTTAAGATTTTATTTATTTTTAGAGATAGGGGAAGGGAGGGAGGGAGAGAGGGAAACATCAATGTGTGGTTGCCTCTTGAGCGCCCCCTCCTGGAGACCTGACCCACAACCTAGGCATATGCCCTGACTGGGAATCAAACCAGCGACCCTTTGCTTTGCAGTCTGGCACTCAATCCACTGAGCCACGCCAGCCAGGGCTAAAGTGAGATTCTTTAAGCAAGGGCTGCTTCAGGACCAGTGTAGGGTAAGCAGGAAGTTGATATACTAGGATTGGGATTTTTCTGGAAAAGAGGGACAAAAACGTTGAGGGCTTAAGGAATCTAAGCTGGGTGAGAAGGTAAGTGATTCTTTAAAGGAAAGTGAAAAGCCCTGACCAGCGTGGCTCAGTGGGTTGGGCATCGTCCCACAGAGCGAAAGGTCACCAGTTCGATTTCCAGTCAGGGCACATGCCTGGGTTGTGGACCAGGTTCCCAGTCAGGGTTGGTGAGAAGCAACCCATCGATGCTTCTCTCCCTGCCTTTCTCCCTCCCCTCTCTCAAAAATAAATAAATAAAAATCTTTTTAAAAAAATAAATGAAAGTAAAAGGATGGTTGGGTCAGTAGATTAAAGGTCCAGTAGGGTAGTAGATCTTCTGGGGCCACAGATATTGCTTAGAGGAGATGAGCTAGGAAGATAGGTGGTGCTGCTGGCCTGGGGAGAGATCCTGGAGGTGAGTGCAGTTCCAGGTGATGACAGAGTGGCTGATTGAAATCTGGCTCATCTGAATCTGGGTTCGCTTTAAGTATAAGATACCCATTGGATTTAACAGACCTAAGGGAAAGGAAGACTGTAAAATATCTCAAATTTTTTTACATTGATGCCAGGTTGAAATTATAATATTCAGATAAAAAAGTTAATTTCACCTTTTATTTTTTTCTTTTTTAATGTGGCCACTAGAAAATTTTAATTACATACTTGAGTCATGTTTTGTCTACATACAGCATGAGTAGGCTCATGGGAGTTGGAGCTAAGCTAGGAGAGGATAAGGTCCGAGGGGAGGTTAAGGACTATGAGGCCAGGGAGTCAGTCAGAAAGACTGTCTATCGATAATGAATGAAAATGCCAAGATGATAAGAGGAGTCATGTTGGAGAAAGAAATGGTGCACCGGTGCTAAAAGTCTTGGAGGAGGGAGTGATGGGGTCTGTTGATGAGTACAAAGAGGGGTAGCAGGTGGTCTCATCTGAGGGCCTGAGTGTCCACAGAGTTGGGGGAATGTAATGGTCTGAGAGTTTTGCGAGCTTTGTCTCTGGGGTCAGAGCAGGGAGAGAAACTGGGATCTGCTGGCTACATACCTCTGCTTGTCTTGTCTGAGTGTCCATTTGTGTATCCTTGAGGTAAGGGGCCACTGGGTTATTGTGAGGAGCAAATGGAGCACCTGCAGTGTCCGGCCTGAACTATTATAGCTGGAGTCAGGGGAAAGGGCCAGGTCAACTCAGGAGACGCTGGATCCGCATGGGCAGAACCTCACAGGGCACTTAACCTGCCCTCCTGTCCCCAGCTGGAGGAGCACCGGAACTCCCAGAAGCAGATGAAGCTCTTGCAAAAGAAGCAGAGCCAGCTGGTGCAGGAGAAGGACCACCTGCGCGGTGAGCATAGCAAGGCCATCCTGGCCCGCAGCAAGCTCGAGAGCCTGTGCCGGGAGCTGCAGCGCCACAACCGTTCCCTCAAGGTAGACTGGCTGTGCCCCCTGAGGCAACTGATTACCTTGACTTCCACTTACCTTTGGTGGCTTTCCCTTAAAAACTAGCACAGGCTTTCAGAATAGAAATAGATTTCCCCGGTAATGCCCTGCTTTAGCAAGAACTACCTGTGACCATTTGGCATGTACTTGTATTAGGTAAGATAAAGGCTAAGGAGCAAAGAGAACCCCAAGTGCAGGCCTCCGGGAGTTCTTAGTTCCATCACAGTCCCCAGGTAAGCTGGGGTCCAGCGCCAACCTGCAGCCCTTCTCCCAAAGTTGGTCACGCAGGAATGTGGGGCCTTTATCCTGTCCTGCCTCTCCTAGATCAGGGTCACTCTGGTTAAAGCCTGGTCACTGCTCTGACGTCCAGGTCATTTTTGTACGTATATCGTTTATATACTCTTCATACAATTTGGATCAGTAAATATATCGTATTTTTCAACTTGTTTTGCTTGTTTTTAGTTTGCCTTTTAAAATATTACAATTTTAATATAAATTTGATACAAAGGATTCAAAGGTGACAAAAGCATAATAAGTTAAAGGAAATAGTCACCCACCATCCTGAACCCCAGTGCCCAGCAGAAGCCACTGGGAAGTAAACCTACTAATACGTAAGTTTAAGTACAACCTTTTAACGTTCCGGTCGACATATAAAATCTTACATACAATTTTTAAAATGTAAGTATTATACATGTGTTGTCTCATATATGCCATATCCTCACTTGACACAATGCCTTATCTTTCCCTGTCAGTTTATATAGGGCTATCTCAGTCTTTTTAACAATGTTGTTGTATGGACATATTGTATTTTATAAGTGTTTTTAATATTCCCCTATTCCATAAGGAGAGCTACAGTGAAAATTCTTGTTATATATATGCCTGGTTAATTACATAGAATTTATCTGTATGATAAACCTCAGCAGTGAAATGTCTGGGTCAAAGAGTATGCAAATTTTAAATTTTAATAGATTTTGCCAGATTGCCTTGAAAAAGAAAAAGGGCCCCCCCCCCAAAAAACCCCCCCCCCCCCTCCCTCCCAACAAAAAAAAACTCCCATTAACCGTGTCTGAGTGCCTATTCTGCACAACCTTGCCAACCCTGGGTATTACTGAATCTTAATTACTTGGTTGGGGGTGGAGGGGATCAAAGATGAAAGCACATTATAATGAGACTACTTAACAGGTCTGGAAGAACAGGCTTTAGGAGATCCAAAGTTCTTTAGAATGGCACTTACATGTCTGCCTGCATTTTCCCAGGAGAGACTCTCTCACTTGATGTCACCTGAGATACAGAAGGGTCCATTAGGAGTCCCATTGCTTGACATCTTGGAGCCTGGTCACTCCTCACTTCTGAGAGCAGGGAGGGCTATTGATAGGGATCATCCTGGGCTAGGTGGGGGAGCCTTGGAAGGCTGGCTGGGGAACAATAGATGATGGAATAAGGGCTGACTTCTCTTCTCAGGAAGAAGGCGTGCAGCGGGCCCGGGAGGAGGAGGAGAAACGCAAGGAGGTGACCTCGCACTTCCAGGTGACGCTGAATGACATTCAGCTACAGATGGAACAGCACAACGAGCGTAATTCCAAGCTGCGTCAGGAGAACATGGAGCTGGCTGAGAGGCTCAAGAAGCTGATTGAGCAGTATGAGCTGCGAGAGGAGGTGAGGTGGTGCAGACAGCCACCATAGCCAGGGAAGTAGGAGGTTCTGGGTGTGTGGCAGGCGCCAGGACAGCACTTTATTTTATTTTATTTTATTCTTTTAAGATTTTTACTTAGAGCGGGGAAGGGAGGGAGAATGAGAGGAACAAAAACATCAGTGTATGAGAGATACATTGATTGGTTGCCTCTGGCTCACAACTTAGGCACGTGCCCTGACTGGGAATTGAACTGGAGACCTTTCAGTTCGCAGGCTGGTGCCCAGTCCACTGAACCACACCAGCGACAGCACTTTCCAGGTTTCCTTCCATTCTCCCATTCTTCCTCCTCCTTCCTTGAGAGGGGACCAATGATGTACATTCTGAGGTAGATAAGGAATTGAGAATGGACTACAGCCACATGACCACAGGTTCATAGTATCTGTTCTAAATACCAGGGCCAGGCATCTTGTGGAATTAAAACTGTTCAAGTGTTAGAATGGAGATAGGTTCACATACTGTGTATTACATAGCACAGCCCCAGCCTGGCCTTGCTTGTGGCAGCACCCCCAAATCAGACACACTAATATTTATGCAATTTCAGAGTTTACGCACCTAGATCGTAATTAGCCACACAGAGGTTCAAGTCAGGTTCATCTGCCAACTTTTGACAATTTCAGTTTTCAGAATTTTTTAGAATTTGAAATCACAGGGGAGGAGCTGGACATGTGGTCAGTGACCAGCTCCAAAGGCTACATCCTCCAATTCCTTGCTGCTCTGCTGCCCCTGCCCCCAGAAAGGGCAGGCTGTCACTGCCTTGGCTGATGTTGGCCGCTTCCCAAGGCACTTGAATTGCATTCTTTGGGTCTCCACATGCCAGTCACTTGGCTGTTCTGGGCTCCTGTTTCCTTGTCATGAAAAGGGAGACTAGCAGCTACCTTACAGCTGCAGACCAGGCCAGTTCCTAGGCCCTGGGGCTGTGGTGATAGCTAGGGGGTGGCTGGGATAGGCAAGACCCTGCCCTCTTGGGCTCACAGTCCAGTGTGGCAGTCACTGTGGGCAGGGCCTAGACGGGCGTCCCCTGAATCACCTTGCCTTGCACAAGGCTACTTGTGATAAAATCGGTTTGAGAGGAGTTAGTTTGGTTCTTGTCCCTTAACACTCAGAGACCTGGAGGCTTCCTGAGCCACCATAGAGTGAAGCACCTACTTCAGGAATCTGTGGGCTCCCTTCCTCTCATGCCCCGCCCCCCGCCACCCTGCTTCACCCAAGGCAAAAAGTAAGACTTTTGGCACTGTCTGTGGAGGTAGAGGTATGGAGCCCCCGGCCCTGTGCTGCTCATTTACACCCCACCCCCAGTCAGAATCAGGCCTTGCCGTCCTGCCCCCTCTGAGCCTCTGGACTTCAGATCACAGGCAACTGAAATTCATCATGTCCCTAACGGGACACATCCCAAGCCACCTTCCCTTTCAGATTAAAAAAAGCATAACAATGCCTTACATCCCATTTTGCAGTTGCTTTTACCTCTGAGGTAGCACTTGAGTCCATCACCTTTGCTCTATCTCTGTTCTCTCGCCCTGTCCCAGTTCCCAGGGCTCCTACCGCAGTTAGGACAGCCAGTCCTTGGGACAGCAGATCTTCACCCATAGGTAGAGTAGAGCTCTGCTGTTAGGGCTAAGCTGTTGCGTTAACAGAGGTGTCATTTTGGCCCTTTTAGCCCCACTTACAAGGGAGTCAGGCTACAAAAGTGAGGGTTGTCAGCCCAATGGATTGATCTCTCTTGGGACTGGTGATTTCAGTATTTTTTACTTGGCTTCCTGGTAGCTGATTTCATCCATAAACCTCTGTTCTCACCCAGGACTGACTCAGTGGAAGAGAAATAAGGTGAGGTTGGGAAATAGACTTTCCAGGGACTTGGGGCCCACATCCTGTGGTGCATATGGGAGTCCAGCACATCAGATTGAGATGGAAGGCTAGGCAGGGTGTCTATAGCCACTGGGCTTCCCTGAGAAAGGGAGCTCCTGACAGGTGAACCCTCCCACCATGCTTTCCTGCAGCATATCGACAAAGTCTTCAAACACAAGGACCTACAGCAGCAGCTGGTGGACACCAAGCTCCAGCACGCCCAGGAGATGCTGAAGGAGGCAGAGGAAAGGCACCAGCGGGAGAAGGATTTTGTGAGGCTCAAGCCCTGGGGGTGGGGGGTCTTGGAAGAGATGGGTCATTTCTAACTTAGCTCATAGTCAAGTGTGTATGGGAGAGGTTGCTCCCTGGCGAGACCAGGGCACTGCTTCCACAGACACCAGTCAGAGAGCAGAAAGCCTCAGTGGGTTCTGATGTATATGGCAAAATACAAACACACACACACACGCACCCCCACCCACACCCACACACTCCCACACTCCCACTCCCTTGGGGCTTCTGACAGGGTCTGGTGTCCTGTCTTGAAAATAGCTCCTCAAAGAGGCAGTGGAGTCCCAGAGGATGTGTGAGCTGATGAAGCAGCAGGAGACCCACCTGAAGCAGCAGGTGAGACAGTGTGTATCCTGACCCTTTGTTTCCAGTACCCCCTCACCGGGCCCCATCCTGGGGGAGCAAAATGGGACCCTCATTCTAGGACTGCTTTGACTGCTCTGTGACCTTGCTGAGTCTTTGTTCCCCCTGGACCCACCCAACACCTGTGTGGTGGTGATCAGGTGGCTATGTGAGCTTGAAGGACTTCATTCCTAGTGGAAAGTGTTGTGCTACTTTTGAAGAGGTGGAGACAGATGATGATATTTAATTCTATACATTATACTTAATTCCAGAAAAAACATTTGAAAACAAACATAGGTTGGCATATCTTTCCACACCATGCCCCTCTCTTTTCTTGGAAAGTGAATAAAAACTTTCTAAAAAGGAAAGAAAGAAAACAAAGGCAAAATATGTCACCCCAAATCCTCCTTTCTAGGCTTACATAAAAAAAAAAAATGGTATCTAAGAATTGTTGGGTCAGAGGGCTAAGGATGGGCCTGAGTCTGTTGATGAGAAGTGCCCACGAGGGAAGTGTGGTCTTACCTGTGGGCTTCTTTCTTACCCAGCTTGCCCTGTACACGGAGAAGTTTGAGGAGTTCCAGAACACTCTTTCCAAAAGCAGTGAGGTGTTCACGACATTCAAACAGGAGATGGAAAAGGTAACACTGGTCCAGTCTGGGTGTGGCTGCAGGGGCACAGGCAGCTTCATTCAGAATGGGTGCCTCACTGGGAGCTATTTACAGTGACAGTGTGATTGAGACCAAGGGTGGGGCTGTAAGGAGGGATCACAGCCTTTCCTCCCTGTCAAGGAAGTGCCAGTGTTAGGTGCACCTTCCAGGCTTTCCCAGAGAAGGGGCTGTCCTGTCATTTCCTGTTATTGGCGGTTGGTGTTTAACTTGAGAGCTCTTAAGGAGGCACAAAAGGCACTGATTGTGTCCTGCGATAGCCTGACCATTTCCTGCCTGTCACATAACCCAGATGACTAAGAAGATCAAGAAGCTGGAGAAAGAAACCACCATGTACCGGTCCCGATGGGAGAGCAGCAACAAGGCCCTACTGGAGATGGCGGAAGAGGTGGGCTGAGTGCACTCTGCAGGCGGGGGTGGGGTGTGCAGTTACCAAGCATTGGGCTATTTTCTGTAGCTCTAGCAGTGAGTGATGCACCTAGCATGAGGTGGAGCTGGGTGCATTTGGCCAGGTCCAAGGCACAGCCAGCTCTCTCCCCAGGGGAAGTGGGGAGCCCAGTCATAGGCCTATGGTGGAAGCAAAGAAAAAATGGAAGGAAGGAAAAAAAGAGCAGGAAAAACAAGGGGTGCCAGTGATGCATGTAGTTTGTATGCAGTGGCCCTGATTGTTTGGTTTTGTGGCTGAAGATGGAGAGGGAAATAACTCAGTGCTAAAGCAGCTACTGCAGCCAGGCCTGCTGAACATCTTCGGTAAGCCCTTTCATTGAACCTTCCCTCAAGATCTCTGAGGTTGGTGTTAGTAGACAAGTTGAACAGATAAGGAGATAGGCTCAAAAGCCAAATGCTTTGGCAAGATCATCTGGTGGATAAATGGAGGAATATGTAGTCTATAAGCCATGCCATTTCCACACCATGCCCCTCTCTTTTCTTGGAAAGTGAATGTGGTTATGCTAAACCACATTGTCCTCAACTGGCAGCCAGATCTTAGCATAAACCAGGGCTGTTTACTTGAAAGGAGCCAGCTTTGAACTCCTGCCTGCTCCCAACGTTGTTAAAGTGTGAACATTTTCTACCAAGTGGCAGTGTCAGGTGGAGGGTTGATGGCAGGACACTGAAGGGCCCCCTTTTTCTCCCTAGAAAACACTCCGGGACAAAGAGCTGGAGGGCCTGCAGGTGAAAATCCAGCGGCTGGAGAAGCTGTGCCGGGCACTGCAGACAGAGCGCAATGACCTGAACAAGAGGGTACAGGACCTGAGTGCTGGCGGCCAGGGCCCCCTCACTGACAGCAGCCCTGAACAAAGGCCAGAGGCTGCCACTGCCTCCAAGGAGCAGGGTGGTGAGGGGTCCGGGGCCCAGGCACCTAGCTCCCCAGGAGCCACAGAAGCCCCTTGCTGCCCTGGAGCACCAAGCACAGAAGCATCTGGCCAAACAGGGCCCCAGGAGCCCACCTCCGCCACCGCCTAGGGAGCCTGGCCCTGGGGGCATGCTGGGAAGGGAGTCAGCAACCCAGCCGGGCCTGTCCCGGGCAAGGCTCCCACTGCTAAGCAGTTCAGTGCTGAGGCCCAGGGTGCTCTGACCTCGCTAGCATCTGACACTTTGCAGTTTGGATTTTGTGGGTCAGTTTTACGTATGTAGGACATGTGCAAGGCCTCATACATTTATATCTCTTAAGAGTAAAATAGGCTTGCGTCGGAGGTGGGGTGTGTACAGATGAAGTCAGTGGCTCTTCTGTGAGCTGAAGAGACTTAAAGAGGAGCTGTCATCTGTAGCCGCCTTCACAGTGACCTGGCAGGACAAGTGACTTGAACATTTCCCTGCCTGATATGAGGCTCAGACCCCTCCCTCCCTGCCTTTCAGGGATCATAACAAGTGACACGCCCAGGCCTTGACCGTGTTTCTCTTGTTAGCAGGCCTTGGGCAGCTCTGGCCCTCCCAGCTCCCCTGGAAGCTCCTTTGCTGTTCTTAACCTAGAGAGGGGTCTCCAGGCAGAGCCTTGGTGGGACACTCAGAGATGGTGATCAGACCACGTCCTGCCTAGGACAGGGACCTGGAGAACGTTTCTCTGTGGGGTGATGCGCTGGTAGGGAGCCCCCTGGGCACCACCTCTGCCCTCTGTTAGTGTCAGGACCAGGCCAATGATGCTTCTCAGTAGCCTTATCATTCACAGGTGCCTCTCTAGCCTGCACAAACGATTGACAAGAGATCACCCAAAGGATTCCTTCTGAAAGTTTTTGGTTTTCGCTTCTGTTGCACGTGACAGTGTGTTGAGGATTGTGTGAGGGAGGGGTGCTCTATCAGTGGTGCCTGGGTTCCTGGCCTCTGGGGCCGCACCACCCGCCCCATCCCACATGGCACCTCTGTCATGTTGGTGCTTAGGTTTCCTGTTTGATGAAATCAAACTGTAGCAAGAGAAAGGAAAGGACTTCTGATGGTCTTACCATGAGCTTACTTATGGGTTTCAGTCCTGGAAGGCCACCGCCAATTCCCATCACTGCGGTTTCCATGCAGCAGTTGCTGAGCCCCATGGGACCAGCTGTTCCCAGTGGCTCTATGAGTCTTTTCTGCTTCCTGCCCTACCCCCAATATGCAGTCCTTGAGATTTGCTCTGGGTCCATTGTCCAAGGAATAAGCTGAGGTATGTCCTTGACAGCCCTCTTCCTGTATGGGAGCCTCAGCTCTCATCTCACAACTGATGGATAAGAATGAGACTCAACAATTGACTGAACCCGAGAAATCCACAAAATGGCTGCAGATATTTGTGTCAGTCTCCATCATATACCCCACACCCTCCACCCCTTACATGTTACTCTATATTCTGAAAGTTTGCTGATCGCAAAGTTGCCTAGGGTGTTAGCCAGTCTGAACAGAGCAGTTTTCTGGAACAGCATAGTCTTGGATCAGAAAACAGGGCTCTGCTGGGCTTGGCGTACTGCACCCCAGCTCCATTTTCCTACAGGTCCTTTTTCATCTTCCACAACCAGTCCACTCTTTCAGCCCTTAAATCTCTCATAAAATAGGTTCATGAAAAGTGTTAAGTACTCCTAAACCATGTTCTGACTTAGACCAGAGATGGCAAATGCAAGGTACACTATTTCTTCTCTGCCCCCATAGTAGGTACCACTAATCTGCTTTGGAGTATTTCCTGCTCATTCCTGGTATTTCCTCATTTCTCAAGGTTCACTCAGCAGCCAGTATAAGTGCTGAGAGCTGTTTACCATCCCTGGCTAAGATACTGCTCTCCTGTGGAGAGAGAAGTGTTTCCTAAGGTCTTCTCCCCTCTGAGATGCCTGTGTCTAGAATGGTCCCTGAATATGCCTCTTCCTGTTCCAGGAAGGTTCCCTCCCCCAGGCCCTGTGCCGGGTGGAGATACACAAGAGCTGCAGCCCCATACAGGGTTTGCTGGACTGTGGAACACAGGGAAGAGGCAGAAGCTCCTGCCCGCCCCCTTTAAAGATCAGGTAGGCCTGCAGTGGCCCACATGATTGCCTGCCTATTTCAGCTACCTCTTAAAGCCCATGGGGTTAGGGGGGAGGGGGCTGTTGGAGCCCAGGGTGGTGGGGTGGGAACTCAGCAGGCCTCTGAAACCAAGTCGAGCTTTGTGGAGTTACAGGGAGCAACGTGGCCCCAGTTGGTCAGAAATAATAGGCCCTGAGCAGGGTAGATAGAACCTTTGCTCTCAGCTCTGGGCATCCAGGCCCGGCTATAGGTGGGAATCCCATTGCTCTAACGCCATTGACCAAATCTTAATCACTACAGCTGCTCTGCTTGCTCTGCTTTCCAAAGTCAGCCCAGGTGCCTGGGTGCTATGCACAGCCGCCAGGATCCTGGGCCAGGTGCAGGGGAGGAAGCCTATCTGAAGGCCCGTGCCTTCCTCACTGGGGCAGGTCCCATGCACATGACCTCAGTTCTAGGACCAAGAGCTGTGCTGGTTTCTTAGACTGCTAGCTTTTCCTCCAGGGGACCACTGCAGGTGAGACTCACAGCCCAGAGCCCTTGGCGCTGCTGAGAGTAATTTGTGTTCAGCACCATGCCCGGCTGAGAGCCTCATGTGCGCCAGATTGTGAGAGGTGTTGCAGCACTTTTTTTTTTTTTTTTAATTTGTTTTTCCATGAGGTTTTTGGACCATGGGCTGAGCTCAGGCACTTTTCTGTAAGAGAATGTTACGTCTGTAAAGATGGTTATTTTCCCTCCTCCACCCATCATGGTGGCCTTGTTGAGGGCTAACCAAGAGGCCAGTGGAGCTGCCCTGGTATCTGGGGGAGGGCTGGGGCCTGCTGAGCTGATTCTCCAGCTGCTGCTCCAGCCCTTCCACCGTGCACAGTACAGAGGGTCACCCCAGGGACAGCCAGGCACCTGCCTGGGGGAGGGGTGCTGCCATCTGTCCCTATAACTGCTTCCCTTTGGGCCCAACCTTACCTTACCTCCCAGATTTATTTGAAGCTGTGCTGACAGCTTTGGGGGTTTTTTTTCTTTTCTTTTTTTTTTTTTCTTTTTTTTTTTTTTTCCGTTGGTGTCATTTTGGTATTCACAACAGCCAGGGATTTGATTTTGATGTATTTTAAACCACATTAAATAAAAAGTCTGTTGCCTTACTGTTTCTCTCCTGACTTGTCCTTTGGTGCTCCTGGATCCATCCAGGCATCATTGATTTGTCCAGATCTGCTGCCAAGTCTCTGGCTGTTCCCTGATACCTGCATCTTCCAAAGTGCCCTCCTTCCCTCCAGCTCAGGGTTCACTGGAGCTGCCTGAGTGGAGCCCTTGGCAAAGTTGGCATGATGCTCATATATATACAGGAGCACCAGAGGTGATTTTCACTCATTCAAAAATTGTCCCTGCCTTCTGAGGGTTCACAGGCTGGTGAGGGGAAAAGGAACTTTGAGACATAGAAAGGATAGTGGTGCTAGGGGAGTAAAGAGGAGGGAGGCCCTGTCCCTTTCAGCAACGGACTACAGGTGGGTACCTGGAAGGGCTTATAGCCCACAGGGCAGGTGGAAGTTGAACAACTCCCTTTAGTAACTGGTCCACCCAGTAATGTAGGTGCACTGGCGGGTGGTGGAGGTGAGGCAGGGCCCAAATAATTCACCAAGAGCCTAAGTGCCAGGTGAAGAAATCTGGGCTAGATCCAGAGGGCAGGGGGCCCCATTGAAGGTGTTTAGGTAGGAGACAGGAAGGTCTCCGAGGAAGGCAAAAATCAAAGACATCAGAAATCTAGGCATACACCAAGTGAAGTCCAAATTAACATGAGTGGACATCACTTTTATCTGGAGCTGTCTGCGTGGCAGCATCTTTTGGCACTGGCCCACTGGGAACCTCCAGGTTCTGTTGATTTTGTGCACTCCTTGGCAAGACCACATTCTGCATGCAGTTCTTAAGAATAAACCAGTTTCTTGCCCCAGTCAGGTATCTCAGTTGGTTATAGCGTTGTCTGGATCCCTGGTCAGGGCACACAGAAGGCGCAAACAATGAATGCATAAATAAGTGGAACAACAAATCTATTTCTATCTCTTTCTCTAATCAATTTTTTTTTAAATGAATTGGTTTCTCACACACTCCTGTTCACCCACTCCAAGCCTAGGTGTGAAAGTTGAGGCTCCTGTATGGGAGACATCCTGGACTCCTCACTCAGCACCCTGTTCTTTCTGGGGCCTGGGCTGGTCTGGCACAAAGGACCATATGTGAATGGCCAACAAATGACAGAGAAAAGTGTCCTTCCCTCCAGGCCTCCACAGGCAGATGTGTCCACACTTGGCTGTGAGTCTCCACAGAACCTCTGCCTCTTCTAGTCAGGATCCTGAACAATTGGTATTTTTCTGTGCTGGCCACATTGTTTCCAAAGAGCCATTGGAGGAGGTCAGAGGAGGCCTCCACAAGGCTTGGAGCTCCAAGCAAAGAAGCTCTGAGACTATCTTTAACCTCAGAGGTGCTCCTGGATCCTCTACCACTTTCCTAGAGGAGCCCTGGTGCCACTAGTAGCTCTGGTAGGGGGAGGAGAGGGACTTGAGCTGTCTGTCCTTTCTGCCTACGCAGACCCCTCCCTCAGGTCCCTGCTTATTGAAAAAGTCCTTAGTTAACGTCCCTCCTTCCGGAACAGTTAGGGCGCTGAAATCACCAGGAAAAGAGTCCTGCTTGCCTGGAGCCGGCAGAAGCAGTGTCTATCCCTCCCTAACTCAGCGCCAGGCCCAGGCCCAGGGAAGCACCCCCGCCCAACGGGAGGGGCAGCTGTGCGCTTTGCCCTGAGGCAGTTATTTGAGACAGCAGGGCAGCCTGGCTGAGAAAATGCCTGTCTCCTGTTGCAGCAGATGCTTCCCTGAGGACCTGAGCTGGAAGCCTAGGCCAGGTCTTTAAATAGCTGCCCCATTGATCTGCCCCCCTCCTCCCACCTAGGGCTGCACCAGCAGCACAGGGTCAGCCTTCGTCGCCTGCTCAGGTTTCCCCAGGGGGGGACTGGGGGGGGGGGTGCGGGTTGCAGTCAAGCACCTGGTAATCACACAGGTTTCCACTCACCTGAGGCTCCCCACATGGGTGTCCTAGGCCTGGGGGTGGGCAGGGGGCCAGGTCTGGTCCCTTCACTTCATCAGTGACCGAGTTCAGCCCCCAACACTTACCAGCGAGAAGTTGCCTTGGGTGTTGTGGAAGGAGTTGTACTGCCCTAAAAGACTATTGTTGACTTTCGGTAAAACGAGGCGATGACAGTATCTTCTGTCAGGGTTGTTATGAGAGTTAAATGACCATAAAGTGCTTAACAGGAGACCTGGACTCACTTGATAGATGATTGTCTTGAAGTTTCTTCCTGCTGCTGCCGCTGCTAATTCTGTACTTACGTGCTTTTAATCTTTTTCTCTCTCTGCTCCTTCTTTCCATTCTTCTTTCTGACAAAGCCACCACCATTTTGTGAGACTGTAGTTTTTCTCCAAAACTGATGGGAAAAGTGAAAGGGTTTTGAGATTGCCATCACACAGCCATCGAAGTCACCTCGTTCAAGTAGGGAGGTGAAGTCATGAAAGGGACAGCATAATAAATGTGGGGATGCTCTCCCATCTCACTCCATCCCCAGCGCTAAAGGTCACTTTCTCTTTAAATGCAAATTACCTCCTGCCAGCTAGGCTTCCACCCCTTCTGTTCCCCAGTAGGAGAGTGCTAAGGGCGGAGGAACCCGCACCGAAGCCTCACTCCAGACCCCAAACCTCCAGGTCAGTTGCCCCGGGGTGGGGAGGGTGGAACAGGAGGGGAGAGGGGCGGAATGACTCGGGTCTGACTCTCCGTTTAGGATCCTGTCTCCCGAGCTGAACGATCCCTTTAGCACACAGCTTTGGGAGTAGAGTGTGAGAAATAGATCCCAGGTTGCCCCCAGCGGTTCCTGGGGAGCAAAGGCTCCCGCTCCAATTCTGCTATCGAGTCCCTAATTGGGCCAAGCTGCCGCAGGTCTCCCCTCCACCACACCCCTCAGTGCCAGCCACCCTTGTGCCAATTTAAATGCTTATGTCCCCAGCACTACCACCGGCCTAGAGTGCAGAACCAGGCTTGGTGGAGACAGCTTGGAAGGAGCAGCTCCGGAAAACCCCCAGAAAGGGCCCCCAGACTTCCCTCGAGAAGGCCTCAGCAGACCTGGGCTTGCAGGCAGGGTCGGACTGGAGGCTGGGCAGTGCCAGTCACAGGCCAGCCATTGTCCAGGCCAAGGCAGCCAGCTTCTGCCCGCCACCCACCCCAGCTGAAGCCAAGCAGGGACTTTCTGATTGGGGAGGGTGAAGCAGCTGGAAGTGTGTCCCAGGGAACTTCTGGGAGTCGCCTGGTGTTTGCGGTTGGGGATGGACGGAGGCATAGGAGTGTCAGCGTCCAAATGGGGGAAAACCCACTCTGAGCCCCACCCTACACGCTATGGCTTCTCCCGCTGTTACCCATCCACTGGTGGTTGGCGCTTGGTGTACCCACACCTTAGTCACCTCCCATGTAGATGCCCCAGGTTTTTTAGCAGTTGATAAATAGAACAGTGCCTGGCTAAGACACCCCTAATCCTTTTGAGCTCCTGCCAGCTCACATCCACCCACTCTCCCTCCCTCCACAGTTCCTCAACCAGCTCCGCCCCCTCAACTACAGGGGCAGTAAACTCCAGCAGCCTCAGGAGAATCATACCCGGTGCAGTCCTCTCGGGCAGCGCTGGAAGATGGAGCGGGGGCAGGGCGGGGTGGGGGGAGAACCTGAGTGGGCCTCGGAAGGTCCTTCAAATGCAGATCCAAGTCCCCAGCAGTAGGCACTGGCATCGGGCCCCGCCCATGCTAGACAGCTGAGGGGACAGAGATCCTGACAGGTGTTGAGGGGTACTTGGAAAGTCCCAGGGCCCTTCCTTTGCAGCTCTCAGGCGTTGGCGGGCAAAGAGATGACTTTGCCCCTCACGTCTCAAAGGGGCTGCCTCCCACTCAGGGCCTGAGTCCCAGCCAGAATCAATGGAGGACAAGAAAAAGAAAAGGAGTCCCAAGCCCTGCCTGACCCAGCCGGCTGCAGCCCCAGGAACACTCCGCAGGGTCCCTGTGCCCACCAGTCACAGTGGCTCCTTGGCCTTGGGCCTCCCGCATCTGCCATCCCCCAAACAGAGGGCCAAATTCAAGAGGTGGGTACAGAAGGAAAGCAGGACAGGGAAGGAGGGACCCTAACTCTGGGCTGAGCCCTAAGGCCGGGAGGTACTAAGCAGTAATGGATGCTTTCCTTGGAGTTGCCCCTGAGCACACAAATGCTCAGACCCTCTGCCTACCCTTCAGTGTGTGGGGGAAAGGCCAGTGTGATTACACACCTCACAGCAGGGAGCGAGCAGCTGCCTGCCAGGAAGTCACAGCCAGAGAAGGCTAGTGGGCACCCTGGACAGGGAGAATGTTCTAAGGGGCTTGCCTGGCATAAGCATGGAAGAAAAATACTGCCTGGAAGGTTCAGGGAACCACAGGTGGCTTGGTGGCCCTGGAGTGTCATGGGGCAGGAAGTGGTGAGGCGATACTCAGGTGCACAACTCAAATTCTTTGCTTAATTTTTTAAATTAAATTTATTGGGGTGACATTGGTTAATAAGATCATATAGGTTTTGAGTATACACTCCTATGACCCGTGATCTGTATGTTGCATTGTGTGCCCACCACCCAAAGTCAAGTCATCTTCCATCGACATATATTTGGGCCCCATTACCTGTTACCACCCCCGCTTCCCTCTGGTCGCCACCATGCTGTTATGTCTATGAGTTTTATATCCCACATATGAATGAAATCATACAGTTCTCGGCTTTTTTAAAAAACACTTTAAAAAAGATTTTATGTATTCGTTTTTAGAGAGCGGGGAAAGGAGGAAGAGAGGGAAACATCACTGTGTGGTTGCCTCTCCCGCGCCCCCTATCGGGGACCCGGCCTACAACCCAGGCATGTGCCCTCATGGGAATCCAACCAGCAACCCTTTGATTCGCAGGCCAGTGCTCAATCCACTGAGCTACACCAGCCAGGGCTCGGCTTTTTTTGACTGACTTATTTCACTTAGTATAATATTCTCAACATCGATCCATGGCTTAATTTTTTTAATGATTGGGAATCTACATCCTACCCTATTACGTGCCCATATCCATTTGTGTTCTTTCTCCAACTGCTGTTTCTCTATGGCTTTGACACCCCCTGCCTCACGCGCATATTTGGGGACAGCCACAGTGGGTATAGCTGAAGCTCAGGGCTGGGGAAGAAATGCAATAGGAGAATGGGGTGGAGGGTGGGGGCCAGGCTGGGGAGGTCCTTAAGTGTTATCCTGAGGGCAATGGAAAATTCAATACAGTTTTTAAATAGAAGAGGGGCAGAAAGATATTTTGGGGAGAGATAAGATGGCTGTACAGCACTAAGGGAGTAACTGTCCCCAAATTCACTGTGGACCAGTGAAAACAAGTGATCGTCACAGGAGGAATAAGCAGGTCCCTTCCAGGCGTAGCTCTGGCTGTGTCATCGGCATAAAAAGACATTTTGACTTCTTACCCTCACCCCTTCCTCACCTGCTACGTTGCCCTTACCAGTTCTGGCGCCCAGGGTGGGGCCACAAGAACAAACATCCATGTATGTTGATGAGTGCATAGGAAGATGAATTAGTACACAGATGGCACAAAAGACCTGGGGGTACCTGGCTGCCCCCACCCTGTGACCTTGGTCATGTCCACCCTCCCCAGGGTAGGCAAGGAGAAGTGCCGCCCAGTGCTGGCTGGAGGTGGGGGTGGCTCTGCTGGCACCCCCCTGCAGCACTCGTTCCTGACTGAGGTGACCGATGTTTATGAGATGGAGGGGGGACTGCTGAATCTGCTCAATGATTTCCACTCAGGCAGGCTGCAGGCCTTTGGTGAGTCCTGGGAGCTGGGCTTAGAGGGTGTATGGGCGGGGCTGGAGGACCTGGTCTCTGGGGCGTGGCTGGGACCAAGGTCCCAAAGTCACTCCCAGGGCTCAGTCAAGTGCCATCCAGGGAAGGAATGCTCCTTCGAGCAGTTGGAGCACGTGCGGGAGATGCAGGAGAAGCTGGCCCGGCTGCACTTCAGCCTAGATGTGTGTGGGGAGGAGGAGGAAGAAGAGGAGGAAGAGGATGGGGTCACTGAGGGACTGCCTGAGGAGCAGAAGAAGACCATGGCTGACCGAAACCTGGACCAGCTGCTTAGCAATGTGGGTCAAGGATGGGCGCTTCAGTTCCTCGGGGGCATGAAGGGGTGGGGGAGGTACATGCTCCTAAGGCCATTCCTGGCGCCTGGGTGAAAAGCTGGGGGTGCATGAGGTTAAAAGCCCTGGGCACCTCAACCCCCACTAGAAGATAGCACCCAGAGCATCTGGGGTTCAGCTTGGTGCCTCTCCTGACAGGAACTCCTCTTTCTCTCTCTCCGCAGCTGGAAGATCTTAGTAATTCTATGTATCCTTTCCAGGGGACCTGATAGTGTGTGTGCGTGTATGTGCCTCCCAGGGACACCAGTTTCCTCTTCCCCACCACCAGCGGGGAGTATTTACATACCACCAACATCTCCACACCCATCTGTCCTACTGAGTCAGAATTAACCACCAACTGCCCCCACCCAAGAAAAGGAGTGCAGGAAGAATTTCCCAAATATTAGGAGAAAGGTGGTTGCAGGGAATATGTTTTACCTACTTATCAAAGTCTTTGGAGGTACTTAAGCTGACACTAATCCATAGCAAAGTTTGTCTAATGTCTTCCTATTCTTTCAGCACTCAACAATTATTTTCACCGATTTAGATTACTAGTCCTAGTCAGAAGCAGTGCTGGTGCAAACACCTGTGTGGTTTAGACCGAAAGAGAAGCCAACTAGCAAGAATGGCACGTGAGAACTGTAACCTCAGACCACGGACCACCCCAGAGTCCCTTGCGCAGCCCCTTTTCGCAGTCTGGGAAACAGCCTGTGCAGGATGGGAAGATAGGGCTGGAAAGGCAGGTCCAATGTATCCTATCCTTGACTGCCACAGACAGAAGCTGCACCTGGCCGAGAATGCGGAGCCTGAGGAACAGGCAGCTGTGTAGGTGTTGGACCCAAGCCCAGGCTGCCCCTTCTCATTTCCTTCAAACTGTGACTGTTTACGAACTCGACTGCATATTCCACAGCCCCCCAGGTGCTATGGGGAGGGGGGCATTAGATGGAATTAAACCAGAAAGAAAGAATGCGGCTTCGTGTCCTCTCTCTCCTGCGTCTTTACTCGCCTGGGGCGCCCCGACCCCGGCGAATATACCCCTGCGCAACAGACTTTCGGTTTGGGAGGTCAGGCTCGGGGAGTCTGGAACGTCGCTTGCAGCTCCGGGGGTGGGGGCAGGCGCCGGGACGCCTCCAGCCTAGGCGATCTGAGATGATTGCCGTGGAAACGGCGGGGCGGGGCCCGCCCTCGCCCGCGCGCGGCTCGGACTAATGACGCACTGTGTAGGCGCCGACTGCCTGGCCGAGCAGTTGGGGCCCGATGGAGCGGGAGCAGTTGGTGCGGAAGGTGGTCGTACTGCAGGTGCGGGGTGGGCGGAGTGTGCCCATGCTTACCCCCATGGGACCTCGGACTGGGACCTTCGAACGAGATGAGGCTACCACGTTTAGTTACCTATCCGCGTGCCCACCTCTGGAGATACCGACCCACCCCCCACCAAGCTGAACAATGTTGGGACTCAAGGGCCCTGAACGCCCCCACCACCCACCGCTCCCACCACACGCTCAAGCAGCAGCATGGAAATGGTAGGAAGGGCTTTAAATCGAAGAGAGGGATCCAGTCCAACATGCTCCCTTGAAGCCCGGAGCACCAGCGCAGAGCATCACCTATCCTTTTCCCGGGGCTGGTTCCCCTCTTGCAACCACTGGGATGACCTCCCCAGGAGAATCCCTAAAGACGCCTCCACCTTCGCAATCATGAGTGTTTTCTTTCCCCTCCTTTTCCACACCAGGCCTGCGTCCGGGGTTTCCTGGTCCGACGTCAGTTCCAGCGTCTACGCGCTGAGTATGAAGCTATTGTACAAGAGCTCGAGGATGATCTGGGCACGCTACAGTGGACTGAGGGCTGGATTCCCAGACCTCAATTTCTCCCGCAGGTAGTACACATCCTAGGGGGAGAAGGGACCTGGGTAGGGGACTCCAGGGAATGATAGAATCCATCCTTCCTGCTGACAAGCTTTTCTCAATGGAAGAGGCAGCAGACTTACCTCCTCATGCCTCAAGCCTGAATCCCCACAAACTTGTAAGCTAAATCATGGCACTCAGACACTTAGAGGATTTAGCGCTGGGGTTCTCATACCTCTCTGACTGATTTTTCAGAAGGCCAAATCCCATCGGACCTGGAAAGCCGGAGGGAGGGTACAAAAGCCAGAACAGGAACTATGGAGCTGCTTCTCACATAAGAGTCCTGAGAGAGAGGTCATCCAGGAGGAGAGGATGCTGAAGAAGTCAGGAGAGAGCTCAGCAAACTCAGATAGTCTTCCCTGCATAGATGACAGCCCCTGGCTTCAGGACGAGCAAAGCAGGAAAACCAGGAAATCCAGCCAAGAGGAGACCAGAGATAAGTCAAGGATGGAGAACCCAGGTTCATCTCTGCTAGATCAGGGCAAGCCCCTGAATCTCTTGGGGCTTCAGCTTTCCCACCTGAAAAGTGAAAGGCTTTTTCTGGATAAGCTGCATCCCTTTCCTCCTTCCTTCTGTCTGGTAGAGGGCAGCTCATGAGTGGTCAGGGTGAGGGTCCCAGGGTTCACTGCTAAGCCAGTGCCCAGTGTCTGCCCCTCATGGCTTTCTCTTTCTTTCCTCCCTCCTTCACAGAAGCTGCAGGCCCAGGACTGCCCCGCAGCCCAACTGAGCTCCAAGAGCTCCAGTACCGCCGCAGCCACTTGGCCATGGAACTGCTCTGGCTACAGCAGGCCATCAATAGCCGTAAGGAGGTGAGCACTGACTTGGAGTCCTTTGTGCACATATAGGGTCAAGGGGGGCAGTTAGAGAAACGCCTCCCGCCATGCCCACACAGGCCTGCCTGGTACAGTGTCTTTTCTCTTCCCCAACAGTACCTACTTCTCAGACAAACACTGGGATCCCCAGAGGCAAGCCCAGACCACAGTGGACAGGCCTGTGAGGGAGCTGGGTCACAACCAGGCCCACCAGTGGAAGACCAGTGCTACAGAGACAGGACCACTAGAGAACCAGGTCCTGCAGACGACTCTTGCTGGAGGCTCCAATCACAACCCCACAAGTCCCCAGAGAGACTGGCAACTACAGATGAGACTACTGTTGGGAAGAAGTACAGGAACCCATGCCACAGGAGGGCTCGACCACAGCTGCCCATACCATCAGATAACTGGGCCATAGAGAAGAGGCTCACCAAAGAGCCACACCATGGGGACCACACCTTTGCAGGGACGTGCCTGCAGCTGACGAAACTCCTGGAGGACGAGACCCCTAAATGCCTCAATCCTAAGGGCCACTGTTCTGGAAAGGCCAGAACACAGCTGCCTACACTCTGTGTGGACCCAAACATTGGAGATAGGTCTCCCCGAGGGCCAGACCACAAAAAGCCTGAGTGCCAGAGAGTGAGGCCACAAGAGCCGGACCACTGCTCAGAAGACCGTGTCATCCAGGATGGAACTCTGACAGAACACGGTAGCCTGGATCTCTGGAAGACTAAACCACCCAAGGGCCAGACCCCCAGTAGTAAGAGCTCCAGAGACAGAGCTTCCAAGGAGCCTGGCTCTGAAGGATGGAAAAGCCAGAGGACTGGATCATGGAGATCAAGGCCACCTGAAAAACCGTCTTCCACACGGTCAGACAGCATGGGAGAGGACCACTGGAGGGGCAGGCTGTGGAAAACAGGACCACCAGGCTAGTCCTTGGGGAGGCTCAGGTTCCAAAGGGGGATGCTATGAAAGGGCAAGGAGACAGACAGGTCCTCCTCCTCGATCTCTGGTACCACCTCTACCTCTTGCCCTGCCCTGCCCCCCCTTGGTGGCCAGTGGAGCCAGGAGAAGCTGGAGCAAAAAGCTGGCACCAGTACAGGGAGAGGGGGGAGAAGGACATGCTTTCATCCTCTGCCTGTGGCTTAATCCAAATTTCAGGACAGGGGAGTTAGCTGGTTAAGTGGGAGACCTAATGGAGAATAAAGGTTTTTCTTGGATTCTGAGCCTAGTTGCATTCGTCTTGTGCCTATGGTAAGGACAGACGCGGGGCCTCCCTGTCACTTCTTTTTTGTTTTGTTTTTTGGGACCACACACAAAAAAATCTGTGGGGGGAGGGAGTATAAAAGAAAGCAGCCCCTACACTGGGCCCTACTCTGGAAGCTTCTTCCATAGGGTTGAGGACTTTGAGGAAATAAAAGTTGTTTGGGAAGATCCAGGTGTAGTTGCTTACATTTGATGAGTAGAAGGGATGCAGTGAAGTGTGAAGGCCCCTCACACCTGCATCTTGCCTCAGACTATTTCCTGGAGCCCTGGGGCGAAGAAAGCGCCACTTTCATTCCTGCTTCTTGGCCATGGCCACAAAGTGATAGAGAACGACAAGCAGGAAGAGCAACATGCCCAGCATGTTGGCGAAAATGGTGAGCTGCACGACTATAATCCTGACCAGCTGGGCTCGGCTCTTTCCTGTCACTTCTTAGTGGCCTGGGGTATCTGCCCCAGAGCTGGCTGGGAGCAGACTAAGCATTCTTGGGGCAACAGCCTTCAAAGCTGATCCTCCATTGAGCTCAGCCTCTGGGCTATATGGTGGCAGGGAGGTTCTAAGAAGCCTCCCTCTGTCCAGTATTGGACCATCTGTATTTCAGTGTGATCTCTGCCAGTGCCTCTCTCACTGAGCCCCCGCATCTTCCTTTGTATATAGTGATCACACCCTCTATACTCCTGTGGGGCCCACGAAGGGCAGGTTGAATGAGACCCTGACTGTAGATGGGTGTTCCTGCTGAGGCTCTCCCTGCATTCCTGAGAGGGCAGGCCTCCACCTTTGATTGGCACTGCTCCCAGGCCTGCCTTAGTTGCCTGGCAACAGCTCTGCGTCTCTAGCTGAGAACACACTATGGCAGCCAAGAGGGTAGTGGTATACCGGAATGGGGACCCTTTCTGCCCAGGTCGCCAAATGGTGGTCTCTCAGCGCCGCTTCCCCACCATGGAGATCTTCCTCAGTGAGGTAACGTCAGTTGTGCAGGCCTCATTGGCTGTGCGTGCCCTCTACACGCCTTCTCATGGCCACCCTGTCACTGACATGGCCAACCTGCAGAACGGAGGACAGTATGTGGCTGCTGGCTTCGAAAGATTCTGCAAGCTCCAGTGAGTGGGATGAGGTTGGTCAAAGAGCCTAGGGAGGGAGGTAACAGCAACAGCAAATGTTCAGTACTTATTGTGTGCAGGGACTTTATACTTTATCTTGGAAGGCAGCATCCTTGTGAAGGGGCTGGTCTTGTCCCCATCCTTTAGAAGGCGAAATCAGTAAAATTAAGGAACAAATAGTGGAGCCAGAGTTCAAGTTGAAGTCTGACACTGGCGTTTATACTCAGCCCAGCAAGGACCTGCCCGTGGGAAGGAAAACATTCTGCAGGCTGAGCCCCTTTTAACTGAAGGCTCTTCCTAACTGGATCTTCTAACACCACCAAACACTAAACTCATCCATCACTCTACTCTGCCCTGTCTAGAGAGGAAAGAGAAAGTGTGATTTCCCCTTTCTAGGATGGAGCTGTGCCTTCCAAGATGGGAGAAGAATTTGGGTATCATTTGGGTATCTGAGCTCCCAACTCAGATCTGGCTTCCAGGTCCTACTCAGCTCTCCGCTGAGGTTACTTGCTGTGATATAAGGAGCAAGGGGTTGGGTGCTAGACAGACTTAGAATCTGGGTTTTGTCATTTCTTTAGGTGATTCACTTTGAATTTCATACATGAGATAAAACCACCTACCTCATGAATGAGAAAATTTCTGTGATCAGTAGGATGCTTAATGAACTAGTTTCTCTCGACCTTTAATCTTATGGTTTGTGTCAGCCTAACTCAGGACACTAAGGCAGGTTCAAGCGCCAGCATCTGTTTCTGGACTGAGATGACTGGAACTGTTCCAATGGGGAGGGATGGCTGGTGAGCTGGATCCAGCCCCAAACTCTGGCAGCTACGAGGCTCCCCAAGATGACCTGTGACTACCTGTCCTTTCAGCTATTTACCCCCTGGAGGGAAGGCTCGAGGTCGGAAAAGCAGCAGACTACCAGTAAGTCTTCCCACCCTTCCTGGGATTGCCCCCAATTTGGTCTGGGCAGCCAGCGGCCCTAGAAAGGGCAGAACCTGCCAGTCCCATGGGTGGGGCGCAGTCTCCACAGCTACTCTGAAATAGCTGCTATGCTTCCTGGGTGTAAGATTTCAAGGCACTACCCGCTTGCTCTTTTCCCAGCCTTTCACTTTATCTCCAGGCTGTAGTCCCCAAAGAAAGAGGAAGCTGTGAAACACATGGGGCAAGGGGTGGTAGAATGTGACTTAGGGAGTTCGAAGCACCATTTGGTGAAGGTATGGTAGGCTTATTCCTCCTTGCCTCCTCTCCTGCTGCAATCTGGTTCTTTCCCGGTATCTACCCGCCTTGGACTGCCCCACCCTAACCAAAGGCCTCAACTCTCACCTGACTTGGGTTTCAGGGCCGACCTGTCACTCAGCACCCAGGCGATGGGGGCCTTGGACGGAGGCTACCTGCAGGGTCCCCCTGCTATATCCAGTAAGTGCTGGTGCTGGGAGCAGGAACATAGATTTTCATTTCAGTGAGACCAAGAAAATGTGAGTGGTTTGTTCCAGGAACCCCTGGTCCCTGGATATAAAAAGTCCAACATGCCTGATGGGTGAAAATGGGCCAATGCACTGGTTCTTGAACCATCTTCTGGCCCCTGTGCCATCCTTCTTTCTTTCACACGTAGAAGTTCTGGGGACCCTTTCCTTTACCAGGCTGCTCTTTGTCCCAGTGTGTTCAGGAATGGGGACCTATTAAGTCCCCCATTTGACCTGAAGCTGACCCAGGCTGCCAGCGAGGACTGGGAAACAGTGTTGAAGCTCCTGACCGAGAAGGCCAAATTGCAGAGTGGGGCTGTGTGCAAGTGAGTACAGGGACTGAGGAGCCCCAAAAGTCTCCAAAGGGAGACTCCTTACTGGTTTTGGCCATCTTTACGGATGAAAAGGCAAAAAGAAAGCACATTTCCCCAAACGGGATCTCCTTCCGTGCCATGGGGAGAGGCTCCTCCAGCCCGGTTCTGGGGGCCAGGGCAGAACCTAGGTGACTGGCCCCGGTGCCCAGAGGGCCAGTGGCCAAAGGGCGCCTTGGAATAGCTGGGTCCACCCCTCGCAGTCTGCCGAACACGAAGAGCATCTTGTCCACCAGTCCTTTTCCACTTGCCTCTCTCCCAGGCTCTGCACCCCGGAGGGGCTCCCAGTGTCAGCAAGGGAGGCTCTGGTGAGCGGCCAGTACTATGTGGCTGTTGGGGCAGAGGAGTTCAAGGCCCTCCCCTATCTGGAGCTGCTGGCGCCTAGTCCCTCACTGCCCAGGGGCTGCTGGTATGTATGTGTAGGTGCAAAGGGTAGCTGGGTAGAGCAGAGGAAGCCACCCTGGCTCTGTGTGCTCCTTCTGCCCACGACAAGCCTTTCCTTTTTCATTGCAGGCACGCCCGAGACCCAAAGCCTAGGCACCACAGGCAGGAGGTAGGTGATGTGAGAGGCCAAAGAGGGTGGGGGAAAGGAGGACAGTGACTGGCCGACTCCTCCTCCAGCTCAGGCTCTGTCCTTATCTGACTGCATCCTCTCAATAATCTCATGAAAGAGAGTTTTTTTAGATTATAAGAGAAAGTTTATTTAGAAAGTTACAAAGGTAATAGAAGGGCCCTTCCTGGAGCTTAGGAGAAAGGCAGAGGTAATACGCCTTGGGGGAAGACGAGGTGGAAGGGAAGGGCACAGGTGTGCTCCCGAGAGGGAGAGGGCACGGAAAGAGAGATTATTATTCCCGTTTTCCAGACCAGAGACTGAAGTTCAAGGGAGTGAAGTAATTTGCTCAGGGTGGCACAGATATTGAGTGAGTGGTAGGGGCCAGACCAGAATCTGGTCGGAAAGTCAGCTCATCCAGGCTCTGCGAGGACCTTCAGGGCTGACTTCCTGAACCCAATGCCTTCTTGCCAGGTTTGAGACTGGCAGAGACAAGTGGCCTATCTGGTATAGCAGGGTCCCAAGGAGCTTATCTGCACCCGCATCTTATCGCAGGCCTGAGCTCTCCCATGAGATGAGCCAGTGAGCATCGGACGGAGGGCAGGGCGACATGGCGTGATTACCCTGGACTTCTTGAGTGCCACACACCAGCTGCTCTGTCCTGGACAAGGCAGCCTGATGGGGGGAGGGAGCAGGGAGGGAGGAGGCAGCCTGGGAAGATGGACCGCTTCTCCTCCCACAGGCACCAGGGGCATGCAAACCTGGACTGGGAGTAGAGAAAGTAAGAAGAGCCAGTGTCCATGGCCCAAGCTCAGTGTCCCGTCCACAGGCCCATGGCTCTAGGGCACAGGCAACCCAGCCCTCTCCAAAGGAACTAAGCCAAATTGAGCCATCTGCTTTCTATGCCAAACCCCAGCAGGCTACTCAGCTAAGAAGCGTGGTCCCCTCTTTCTCATTTCCATCAGGTGAGGGGACCTCGGGACCCTGGCTCTTTTCAGCTACCTTCTCACTGGGACTCAGGATGGTCCCTGCTGTTGCGGGGATGGTCCATGGGGGCAGAAGTCCCAGGTACAGAGCTAGCCCTGACCTCAGCTGTCTCCCATGTGCGAAGTCCAGTTCCTTGCCTTTTTACAGGGATGTGGCATATGAAAACAAGCACATGGAAACTCAAAGAAATGAGACTGCAGGGGTAGGATTTGGAAGGGACGGGGATGGGGGCCAAAGGCCTGTTTTTGAACTACCCTGCCATGCTCCAAGGTAACGAGGAATGTGGAGCAAAACTCAGGGGAAGAGGCTGACAGAGGGGGCCAAGGGAAAGAGTGCAGAGGGCTGCTCAGCCTGGGCCTTGGCTAATGCTGCCCCCTCCCTCAGGAGTCAAGGGAGTGTACGGGGCTCCCCGCCCAAGAAAGGAGACAGAGGGGGCCCAGGAAGTAGCAGATGATGAAGACACCCAGACAGAGGAACCCTTGGATCAGGTGGGCTGGGGCTGGACACATTATGTTGGGGCAGGAAGTATTCTGAGCTGGAGAGAAGCTGTCAGCCCTGGGTCCCAGGAACAGTTCCACCCCCCAGTTCTTCCCCTGTGACTGTGAGCAGATCTCCTAACATCTCAAAGCCGCACTTCTTACCTTGTTCAATAGAGAGCAGATTCTAATTTCTTTTTCTAAAAATAATTTCATTTATTTATTTTTAGAGAGGGGAAGGGACGGGGAGAGAGAGGGTGAAAAACATCACTCTATGGTTGCCTCTCCCATACCCCGCACTGGGGACCTGGCCCGCAACCCAGGCATGTGCCCTGACTGGGGATTGAACCAGCGACCCTTTGGTTCACAGGACTGCACTCAATCTGCTGAGCCACACCAGCTTGGGCAGATCCTAATTCTAAAGTCTCTTCCTTTCCTGGGGTTGGAAAGCTTGGCTGAGGGCTGGCAGAGGGACATGGGATGCTAATGGCCCCACTCTGTACGGCCTTCCTCCTCCTCTAGAGGGCAGCACAGATAGTGGAAGAGGCCCTGGAAAACCAGCCTGGGGCTGGGGCAGCTCTCTCAACCTCCACACCTGCTCTGCCATCTTGAGGGCCAGCAGTCCCAGCCAGAAACCGGGGACTGCCACTCTGCAGCCACATTTTATCCTCAGCCCCCAGCAGCCTGTATAGGAACCAGTGTCTCCCCTGGGCTTGCAGGGTAGGCTTCAGCCCCCTCAGACCCTCCCCAGTCTTCTGCTCCTAAACCCACAGCCCAGTCTTCCTTCCCTCTGAGCAGAGCAGCCCAACTGACGGAGGTCATTTCCTTATGGGATTCTCTGGCCAGAGAAAGAAGTAGCCACCTGAGCTTGGGGGAGAGACCACAAACTAGGGAGCATGTCTGTCACAATAAAAGAATACTTACTAACCTCCGTCTGTTTACTACAGATTTATTACAGCTACTACTCACCAAGCATTATGCAAAATGCTGGAGTTAGGCAGTGCCAGGGCTCACAGGTGTCTATCTGTTTGAGAGGGGCAGACCATGGAGGATTTCTACCCACCTCATGGGTGGGCAATGCAAGGCTAACAGACAGCTCATCTTCCCTGCATCTGCTATTCTGATGCACCTTCCTCCCCTCGGTTTCCCCACAGCCAGCGAAGGCTTTCTGACTGAGTCCTGGAGGCCTGCTATTTCCATTTCTGGCCCAAAGACTGGAGCTGACCCTGTCCATTCAGCTGGGGTTCTGTAGTCCATCGACCCTGCTGCTGGGATAGTCAAGATCAGGTCACAGTAACAGTGGCTGGGCTGGGGGCCTGATGTGACAGCAGGAAGAGAGCCGCTGTGGCAGAAAGGTTGCTAAGAGTGAGTGTGAAGTCTGCTGTGCTAAATCCTAGCCATTGAGCAGCTCTTGAAAGTTACAAAACCCTTTCACTCTTGTCCTCTTATTGTGATCCACGAGGTAGCTATTATCCCCATAAGAGATGAGGAAGCTGAGGCTCAGAGTGGGGAAGTGCTACGTCCAGCTGCTCACTGGCTGCACCTCATGGCCCAACGGACTTCCTGGAGACAGCAGAGCTGGAGGGTGGTGTTGGCCCACTTAAAGGGTAGACGGTTGTCCCTGGGTCTTGTTCATTGAGCTTGTGATGCAGAGTGTAATTCCGGCTGTGGTGAGCACCATGCCTGCGAATGTTCCTGCGGTAATGGGTAGAATTCGAGTGGCTCTGAGCCCAGCCATGCCAGCAGAGCTGGTGCAGGGCTGGGGGAAGGTCCTCTCCTCACCCGCCCATGGGAGATGGCTCCAGGAAGGAACTCCCCCAGTAGCTGCTTTCCCACATCTATGGCGGCCTGACTTACGTTTTCCACCAATGTCTTCTCCAAGGACCTTCCCGACAATCAGTGTGAAGACGATGGACAGAGAATTACTGATGGGCACAGCTAGGGTCAGATCTGAGTGATCAGATTGAAAAGAATTACTTAGGTGCAAAAAATGCCTGTCTAAGCACAAAACACTTTCATTTCATCATCAAGAGGGCCTTTTAAAAAAGGTGTCCAATGACCTCATTTCCCAGGTGGAGGCAGGTCTCCTGACTCCCAAGTTCAGTGCTCCTGCAGGATTCCGGCATGAAGATCTGAACTACAGGCTTCAGACCACCCTGGTTTGCTGATATAAGGATGAGATATTTGGACTCAAAGAGAGCTCCCAGATCACAAGGACATCTTGGACAGACAGGCACCCAAAGCCCAAAGGATGAAGCAGAATGACTGCAATAATGCCAACCACAGCCACCATTTATTATGCTAGGTGCTTTGTGTACATGTTGCATTTAATCCTTATAACAACACAGCAAGAAAAGCATTATCACTGTTTTGCATAGATAAGGAAACAAAGGCCTAAATAAGTCACATAAATTGAGGCAAACTGAAGACTTAAACCAAGCTAAACACTAAACCAATGTCTGCCTGACTCCAAAGCTGTGCTCTTACTGAACTAATGGGTATGAACAACTCAAAAGAACATTTTGAAGCACATTTTGTCTGTTTCAGCTCAGGCTTGGGCATTACGGAGTTAAAAAAGAGAAAAAGGTATCAGAGATAGGAGGCCAGGTATCTGTACAAAACAGGCCTCACAGGGCTGGACCTTAGGTAGAGGTGACCAAAGCCCAGGATCTGCTCCTTAGTTTTGAAACTCCAAGGAACCGACCCCAACAAACAAACTTGAAGACTAATGGAGTTAACAACACGGTTAACTTAAAACGTATTACATTTAAATTTTGCACTCTTAAAACTTTCTAAGAGGGTAGATTTCATGTTAAGTGTTCTTACTACACACATACCAAAACAAAACAAACAAAACACTAATGGACAGATCAGAAGCTACTTATTTACATCAAGACTCACAATTGCCAGGAAGACTGGGATGCTCATGTAGGCTCCTCAGCACATGCTTTCCCAGCACAGCCAGGTCTCACCTGCTTCAGGTAGAGGAGGAAAGAACTGTCTAGCTGCTCATGCCCTCCAAGGCCCCACCATAGCTGGCCTTACCCATCCAATAAAGTGACACATCTCCTATTTACTCAGAAATGCTTCCTTAAGCTTACACACCTTCCACTGAATGCTGTGGCTGCTAAAGACTGGTCTGCAAAAGTAGATGGGGGAGGGAAGCAATATGGTCAATGGAAGAGCAAGGGCACCAGAGTGAGGCAGACATCGGTTTCCTTATGTAATCTTGGTTAAGTCACTCACAATCTGAGCTTGTTCCCTACATGTAAAACAGTGATAGCAAGATAATATCTCCTTACAATAAGGTTGTTGTAAGATGAAATACGATAACGCATATACAGTCCCTGGTTGAAGCTGAAGTAAATGCTTAATAGTAACCACTGTTCTGATTATTAGAATGGGTGGATGTTAAAGGACAGAGGCAGAGTAGGCGATGAGAACCGGATCCTAAAGATACAATTTGCTCGAAACCTGGTAAACAGCTTAGTGCAGTCAGCTGGCCAGAGGGTTTGGTATTGCTGGGCAGCAGCGAGTGCCAGAGGCTTTCAAACTTTCCTTTAAATGAAGCATTATGAGGAGCCCAAAATATAAAACAGATGAAAGTAGAGTGGCTCTAGCTGAAGCCAAGGCGGCAGGTCTGAAGTTTAGCCTGTCCCCTCATCCTTCTTCCCATGGATTCTGAGGGGTTCCCCGAACTCCCTTCAAGTCCCTGGGGGACCTGGGTGGGACTCCAGGGGAGGTGAAACTACAACAAGGGGACTTCTCATGGCAATTTCAAAAGCATAAACTTTAGATAATATATGGCTTCAAAAACTTCTACACGGACATACTAGGTAGGAGTTAAGATAGATGAACCTTTCTTTTTCCTCTGCTGCAGCACAAGACTGCCAGACTTCAAACCAACTCTAGTGTCTGGCAGTGGACTCATTAACCAGCCCGCTGTGCACCACAGCTCGGAGAACAGCATGCAAAGGGAGAACCAGAGACAGTGGGCTCTCCTTCACTCGTGGAAACAAGATGTTACGAGCACCCTCCCCAAAGCGACTCATGAGTGGCCTCCACCACCAAGCACAACAGTTCTAAGCCAGAGACCCACCTGTGGATGCCAAGATGAGGTAGTAGAGAAGGGAGCCACACTGGTTGAGGAAAAAAGGCATCAGGTACTGGAAACAGAAGAAATCTGAAGTCAGTGTGACTGCTTGACTGAGTAGCGCTGCCATTTTTGAGCTTCTAGAAACGTCTTTCCTTGGACAGAGGAATAGCTATAAGGGCCCAGAGAACATGAAGCCCTTTGAAAAGGGCCCTTCCAGGGCAGAGGGAAAGTTCCTGACTGAACTCTGTCTTCGCCCTGAAAGCCCTCTCCCTCAGCGCTGCTAGTTCCCATCCTCCCCATCCTGCAAGTCCCTGGTCTGTCAATCACCCTCCAAGAGGCCCTCGGCGGCCCCAGCTCCAGCCTTCCTCCTCTGAACTCGAGCAGGACCTTATCCGTACCTCCCTGAGCCCTTAGCCCTGAGAGGTGGCCTTGTCTCTCTTGTCTTTCCCACAAACCTAGTCTGGCAGCCTTGGGATCGGAGGTAATTCTCCATATCCTTCCTTATGCTCCCTCCCCAGGGAAATTTGAGCCCCAAGCCCTCCCTCCACAAAGGTCTGTTGAATCACCATGATAAAATATTAAATAGCAACCATAGATTGAGCACTAATTGTGTAGTAGGCCCAAATGCTGTTATTTATGGGCTTCACCTCCATCTTCACAACTGCCCTTTGAGATGTTCACCACTATTATTCCCATCTTACAAATGATGAAACTGAGGCTCAAGGAAGACAAGTGACTTCTCCAAGAGCTTTCAGGGAGTCAGTGGTTGGGCGCAGATTCTGACCCAGACCTGCTTGACTCCAGAGACCAAACTCTTAGCGGCTACCCCTGAGAGGTCATTCGCAGACGCACCTCAACATTCAGGAAGAGGGTCTTCATCTCCTGCAGCAACTGCCTGACCCAGGTCCGCTCGTGAACCGGCTGCAGGCGGGAGGAGGCCCGCTTGAGCAGCGGCTGGGTGCCGCCCCACAGAGCGGCCACGAGCACCAGCGCCAGCACCTGCCCTGGATGAAGATGTGAATGACCCTCTCCCCGCCACCAAACGGCCGTTTGCCAGGCCCCGCCAGCCTCCAGCTTCCCATCCCCAGCAAGTCGCCCCCGCGGCCCTCCTTCGCTCTCGGATGAAACTGGCCGGTTGAACAGACCCCGGAAGGCCTGGGGGATGGATCCAAGAGCCCGGAGTTTGGGGTTGTAATAGAGGTCTGAGTTAGGTGATGGAAACGGAGTAGGAAATGTACTCTGGGATAAGGGGATTTAGGGGAGTGAGAAGCGCACGGAGGGGGTGGGTCGCCTACACACCAAGAGACGCCGCCATGGCAACGCCGCTCCCTTCCACTTCCGGGAACGAAAGGGCGGAGACCAGCAATCCGGAAGTGGCCCTAAGCCCCTTCCGGTCCTACTCACGTTGCTTCTTTCCTGGCGTCACCGCAGGGATGGTGAGTTTCACCGAGTTGGAGGTGTTATCGTGAGGGTTCGGGTCTGGGGCAAGGGCTGATTCTGGGCGCTGACACTCCCGTCCTGTTCCCCTAGAAGCCGATCCTGCTGCAGGGCCATGAGCGGTCCATCACGCAGATCAAATACAACCGCGAGGGAGACCTCCTCTTCACGGTGGCCAAGGACCCTGTGAGCGTCGCCCGGAGGGCGGGGCGGCGGGACTCTGTTGAGGGCACCCGGGAGGGAGCGAGTTCCTTCTGCCAGGTTGATGGGGGGACAAGCTAGTTTTGCCGCGAGCGGAAAACCAAGGAACGCCCCATTCTAAGAAGAAGGGAATGACCATCCCGGGGGTAGATGGGCGACAGCATTCTACCGGGAATGGTGGCAAAGAACTCAGTTGTTCGTAGAAAGAAGTAGCTGGGAAGAAGAAAAGCAAGAGACCATTGTGGAATTGGGGCGGGACGAGGGTCAGTCCGTTTAGGGGGCCTCAGGGGGCCAGAAGGAGACTATGCTGGGGAATATCAGAACTATTCTACCAAGATTTATTTCATTTGACTATTTCTAGAGGGGAAAGCTGATCTTTGGGCAGCGAGGGACACAGAGGACTTAACGAAGGTGCCCCTGGACTTGTTTCAGTCGGCCCTTCTGGGCTCCAGCCTGCCACTCACTGAATGCAAACAGTCCCTCACGCTACTGCCTTTTGAAGTACTTCCATATGGAGAAAGTGAACTCTAGTGGCTTACAACGGAGGCTCTGAAGCCAGACCTAATTTGAATCCTTACTCCTGTATCCACCAGCAATGTGACTTTGAGCATGTCATTTAACCTTTCTAAACTTCAAGTTTCCTGTTTTATAAAATATAGGTACTAATAGTACCTCCCTCATAGGGTTGTCTTTAGGATTAAATGAGATCATTCAAGTAAAGAGCGTAACACAGAACCTGCATCTGAGCACCTAATTAATGTTAGTCACTTATATTTTAAATTCCTTAGACATAATTTTATTGGAACAGCCTCACAACTATCCTTTGAAGAAGGCATTATTGTCACAGCCTTTTTACAGAGAGGAAAACTGAAGTTTAGAGGGGAGAAGCACTGTATTTGAGCTAATACAGTGCGATAGTGGCAGAACAGTGGCTGAAACCCAGGCTTCCCTACTACCAACAGGTCCCACTTGAACAGAACACCAAAGTTTTTCTGGACTTATACTCAACTTGACCTTTTCTTCTTCTGTGGGTTTAGGAGTCTGGGGAAGGACTGGGACAGTGGCAAATGGAGACATTTTTTTAGGCTGTCTTACTCCCCTGCCTTACTCCCCTTACGTGCAGGAAGGGGGAGAATTCAGGAGTTAATCTTTTTACCAGCAATCTGCTGTTTCCCAAGAGATGAGCAGGACAAGGCAGAATCTGACCTGGCTAGAGGCTGCTGAGGGTTTCTAAGGCAAAATATGAAGCCATTTCTCTGCCTGGGTGTGTACCATCCTGTCACATTGTCTTTGACTCTTCCAGATTGTCAATGTTTGGTACTCTGTGAATGGTGAGAGGCTGGGAACCTACATGGGCCATACTGGAGCTGTGTGGTGTGTAGACGCTGACTGTATCCTTGTCTTTGCTCTGAGTTTATGTTCCCAGGGTCTGCCAGCAACGGAGAGGCTATTTTTGACTTGGAGCTGGGAATTTGGGGTGCTACTCTGGGGCTAGATACCTATCTCCTACTCCTCGATCTGTTGACCGGTTGGGAAAACATTTAGGACAAGTTTGTTTTTGGTTGATGAGATTAGAGTGCTCTGAGATACAAGAGTCTTTGAAGAGGTGATTCAGTTGGGCTCAGGTGAACTTGGTCATGTTTCTTAACACCCTCTGCAGGGGACACCAAACATGTCCTCACCGGCTCAGCTGACAACAGCTGTCGTCTCTGGGACTGTGAAACAGGTAAGCCTGGATCATGCTTTTTCAGCAAACAGTGAGGGCCTTCAGTGTACTGCTTAAGCAACTAGGTTCTGAGGAAATAGAGATAAATCCTGGGATGGTTCCTAGTCTAGGGAAAAAGAGACAGAAAAGAATAATAAGGAACACAGATTAGAAAGGAGGCAAGCCATGTCAAAGGAAGTATAGAGCACTGTGGAAGGCCAGAGACTTCCACATAAATTGATTGCCTGGAATGGGATGGGAGCAGACCAGAAAGATTTCCCAAGGTAAATGTCACAGAGCAGAGGCTTAAAGAATAAGAAAGAGATTATCACTTAGGCACATGCAGGAATGAAAGCATGGCAAGTGTCATGGTTAAGTCATCTGATCTGGCGGGAGCTCCTGCTTCTAAGGGAGTGAAATAGATAGTGAAGCAGATGAGGCAGGCTAGAAACAGAACACGCCTTGAATGCCAAACTCAGGAGCTTGGCTTTGTTCTATAATACTTCGCATGCTGTGGGGGTCCGTGAGCAGGGGAGAGTGGTGGTCTGTGTTAAGTTTTCTGAAGATCAGGTAGGAGGAGGGAGCATTAGAAGAACTGAGACTGAAGATGGGATCCTATTTAGCTGCTCAGTTTAGTAAATATTTACTGGGCACCGGATTCTGTGCCAGGTCTATGCTGGGCACTGGGGACATGCAGAGAAATTAGAACAGTCTTTGCTGTAGCAGAGCACATTCTGAGAAGGAGACAGTTGTCTTGCACTCCACTATGAGCAGTGCCACATTAGCAGGATGTCTGAGGAGAGACAGTGGGGAAGAAGTTCAGAGACTTGAGCCAAAGCACAGCAGGAAGGACGAGGAGGTTGGTGGGTTGGAGTCCTAGAGCAGGAGAAACAGCAAGACGTGATGATAGGCAGGTGTAGTCTCCTCCCTGTTATGGCAGTGGGCAAGGAATAGCCCAGACTCTCTCTGTCCCCAGGGAAGCAGCTGGCCCTACTCAAGACTAATTCAGCTGTCCGTACCTGTGGTTTTGACTTTGGGGGCAATATCATCATGTTCTCCACGGACAAGCAGATGGGCTACCAGTGTTTTGTGAGCTTCTTTGACCTGCGGGATCCGAGCCAGATCGGTAAAGGCTGGGTCTGGGACTGGGATTGAGGTAAAGGTTGCGTCTCCAAAGCCCCAGGCCTCATATCTGCTGCCCCACAGACAACAACGAGCCCTACATGAAGATCCCTTGCAATGACTCCAAGATCACCAGTGCCGTTTGGGGGCCGCTAGGGGAGTGCATCATCGCCGGCCATGAGAGTGGAGAGCTCAATCAGTATAGCGCCAAGGTAAGGGGCCGGGCAGGGCTGAGCTCCCCAGAATGATGCCCCCTACAAGAGGCAGGATTGCGCAGCGGTTAAGAGCGAGGGCTGGACTTAAACATAGATTTTACCGCGTGGGAGCTGTGTGATCTTGGGCAAGTTACTTATCTTCCCTGAGCCTGTTTATCTGTAAAATGTTACAAGGATCTAATAATTAGGTGTTTGAAAAACTTGTCACGGAGTTCTCAGGATCTGTTAATAATGATCACAATTAAGTATTTTCCTGCTGTCACTGAGTTCCAGGTCCCTGCCCCAGGAGAAGACAGTCTGGCAAACAGCTAGCACACGAGTCAGATTGTAAGTTGTGCCACCGTAGGGGTCTCGGTCAAGTGCAGAAAGTGTTCTCTGTCACAGAGGAGGTGGCACATACATTAAGCCATGGAGAATAAGTGGCGCTTCAAACAGGAAGATTCCATAGGCACAGTTAAGGGAGGGTGTGGGTTCTTCAGGAAATCTGGTATCACTGGTATATAGTATTGGGAAAGGTGGACAGGGCCTGGGTTTTTTTTTGAGCATCAGGAGTTTAGGAGTGATTTTCCTTTAGGCGGTAATGAATCTTTAAATGGTTATTGATGATCAGATTTCCTCCTTAGAAAGCTTTTGCAGGCTACAGTTTGGAGAATGGACATAAACTAGGCAATAGCTATGGGGCTAGGGACTGCCTAACAGTCAAGAGGTATTTAAGGGTGACCGATGAGGATGAGATGGATGCGGGGAAGAAAGGATGAGAAGTCCAGGCTGTCTGAGATTTCTGACTGGGGTACTTGCATTCCTCGGGAATGCTGGAATGTAATACCATGAAGGTTAGTCGATCACTCAGCAAGCACTGACTGGTCCACTAGGCACCAGGCCTGCCTGCAGGAAGGGAACAGGAACCAAGGTCAAAGGCATAAATGATGTTTGATGTTCACAAATAGTGGGACTGATCTGTTCCCCCAAGTAGGCCAGACTGCAAAGCTGGTGCATGTTCCCCAAAATGTAGGAGCCAGATATACCCCTACCATGTGTCCAAATTGATGGAGACAAAAATACATTCTTCCCTCAGAATGGTAGGAATAAATGAAATAAATGTTATTTAGGAGGCTGGTTAGAGTCTCACCCTTCTTCTTTCCCAAGTCTGGAGAGGTGTTGGTGAATGTTAAGGAGCACTCCCGGCAGATCAATGACATCCAGTTATCCAGGGATATGACCATGTTTGTCACAGCATCCAAGGACAACACAGCCAAGGTGAGCTTGGGCACAGGGTCTGGCAGGGCTGTTTCCACACTCCGGCACAACTCTCAATTCGTCTGACTTCCCCCAAGGAGGTTCCTTTTACAGATTTCCCCTCTGTGCTCTCTCTCCAGCTTTTTGACTCCACAACCCTTGAACATCAGAAAACTTTCCGCACCGAACGTCCTGTCAACTCAGCTGCCCTCTCTCCCAACTATGACCATGTAAGCGAATCCCACCCAGGCTGCCTGCTCAAGCATCACAGTTCTTCCAGGATCTACATGTTTGCCTACCAGTTAAGATAGAACTCGGGGGGGAAATGTGTCTAGCAGAGATTCCTAGAGTGTCAACAAGGCTGAAAAATTGAGAAGCCCCAGGGGATAGGGTAGGGGTTGGCTAAAGTACCTCTTTGTCCCCTGCCCTTAATATCCTCCCAGTCTGATGTGGGAGATACTAAAAGTTTATGGGGTGAGGGGAAAACCAGAAAATGGGCTTGCTTGTTCTTTCGGCCTGTCTAGAGTTTCTTCTTCCCTTCAGGTGGTGCTGGGCGGTGGTCAGGAAGCCATGGATGTAACCACCACCTCCACCAGGATTGGCAAGTTCGAGGCCAGGTAAAGGGGAAGGAAGCTCTTCTGCACTAAAACCTCATGGAGTATCTTTCATAATAGACACAAACCATGTAACTAAGGAGCCAGATTTGTGGCCCTCCTGTGACAAGTGTGTAATATAGCAAACGGTTAAGAGCTTGAACTCTCGGGCTCACTCACATCGTTATATTTCTCTGTGCCTAGTTATCCTTGGTTATATAGTAGGGGTAGTGATAATATACTTATCTCATATAAATTGGGCATATTTGCCCTGGCTGGTGTGGCTCAGTGGATTAAGCGCCTGCCTGCAAACCAAAGGGTCGCTGGTTCGATTCCCACTCAGGGCACATGCCTGGTTTGCGGGCCAGGTCCCTAGTTGGGGGCATGTGAGAGGCAACCACACATTGATGTTTCTCTCCCTCTCTTTCTCCCTTCCATCCTCTCTGTCTGAAAATAAATAAAGTCTTTTTAAAAAATTGTGCAGATTAAATAAACCAGTCAATACTTATTAAACTCTTAGAGCACTGCCCAGTACATCATAAGGAAGTGTTATCTCTGTATGCAGGCAGACGTTTCGGCCTAATCTTCCCCTAACAATGTTCACATTCATTTCCCCATATCCCAGTTTCCCCATTTCATAGTTTGTATTGGGAAGTGCTACCTCCAAGTATTTTGGAAGGAGATGGAAGGTGAGTTAACTGCCCCTCTCACCACCCTTTTTTCTCCAGGTTCTTCCATTTGGCCTTTGAAGAAGAGTTTGGAAGAGTCAAGGGTCACTTTGGACCCATCAACAGTGTTGCCTTCCATCCTGATGGCAAGAGGTCGGGCTGGGTGACGGGAGCTGAGTTCAGCCTGGGTCTGGTCCCTGCCCCACAGGCACACCCCTACCCCTTTCCCAGGCCCTGCCCCACAGGCCCGCCTCCCCCAGAGCAGACATCTGACTGGTCCCTGGCCATCTCTTTGCAGCTACAGCAGTGGTGGAGAAGATGGTTACGTCCGCATCCACTACTTCGACCCACAGTACTTTGAATTCGAGTTCGAGGCTTAAGAAGCTGGATCTCCATCCTGGCCGGGATAACAGGGCTCATAGAAATTTTTGGACTCTGAAAAATAATAAACTAGTTTGGAAATACATGATTTCTGGTCAGCTATGTGGTGAGGTCTGTTTAACCATTTTCCCTGCTCGGTGTGACACCCCATTGAGCTGATACCTTTATTATTTGGACCTCCCTACAGTTCGGACCCTTCAAACCTGGAACTTCAGTATTGTGGACTAGGGCTGGTTGCAGGCACCTCATCCAAGGTCCAAAGGTGCTGGGGGGCCTGGAGAGGTCTCAGGAACACCTCGGCCACTCTGTGAGATACCAGCACTTAGGACTGGGGCTCAGAAGCTGAAACCGTTGGCTAAGAGTCTTCTGTCTTCTTTTCTGTCACTATTTGCGACACCTCCCGTACTACCTTTGAACGCTCAGGTGGACGGGTCCAGTGCAAAAAACAGGCCTGAGGAAGAGGAGGAGGACAGGTAAAAGCAGAGAGGACAACTCCCTGGGGGAGGGTCACCTTGCCACAGTGGCAGGCTCTGGGGCCCACAGAGGGCCAGATAGCCAAGGACTGAGGACAGAGCAGGTTCCTGAGTTTTTGCTGCTCTTTTGACTGGTTGAACTCAGACCACAAGGAGTGCGTTTCAGTTCTTTCTTCACACAGGCATGTGGAAGGAGTGAGTGAGCTTCCAGAGAGCCATGTGCTTGGGAGCCCTGGGGCAGTGACAGCCTCTCCTTTTTCCTGCAAATGTTACTGCCAGTCAGAGCCTCCACTGGGCGCTAGAATAAAGTGGAACAAAACAAAGGCCTAGTTTTTAAGGAGTTCTGCTTAGCTTTCCCTGAAAGTGTCAGGGAAGGTTAATGAGGAACATGCTGTTTGAGCTGATTCTATCAGAAGTTTACCAGGTGTTCACTTAGGAGAGGGAACTGCAGGGGCAAAATGGAGAAAGTGGAAAAGAGGCCAATGTGACTGTTGATACGTCAGGACTGATGAGTTTTTTTAAAAAACTGATAAATGGACCTAATGAGAGCAGTGCAAAGGCTGTTCCTTCCCATGCAACAGTGGCTGTTGCATGGGAAGGAATGTGAATTTGGATTGGGGTTGGTAGAAGGGGCATTTGACAGGAGAGGACAGAGCTAGGAAGCTTTTAGGAGAAAGGCTAAACATAAAGGATGGGGGGAGGGAGGTAAACAAGACAACAGTTTCTAACCTGGAGGAGCCATGAGTGGCGAGTGGCGTTAGTAAGAACAAAGGGAATGGGGGCTAGGCAACAAAAGATAACCATCATCTTCCTGGAGAGGAGTGAGTCCTCCCCACGTGTGAGTCTTAAGAGAGAAAGATGGCTTTTTTGGGTTCATTGGGAGCATAGGCAAAAGGCCAACCAAATAACAAAAAGAACCCACTTTTGTGCCCACTACATGCCAGGCACTGTGCTAAGCACTTTCTGTGCTTTAACTCCACTAACCCTCTCCCTGTCCCCCGCCCCCCAATAGATTATGGCTGGGATTACGATCTCTTTGCTGCTAATGAGCAAACTGAGACTCAGGTTTGCTTTTGAGTATCCAGCAGGTGGGTAATGGCCAGACAATTGGATTCAGCTTTCAACCTCTATTCCTATACTAGAATCAACCCTGCAGTGTGGTAAAGAGCCCCAGAAATGATTTTTTTTTTTTTTTTTGGAGCAACTTTACCTTTCAGTCCTTGTTTTTAAGCAAGGGGTGCAACTGCTCTTGGCTATGGACTGGCCTTGGACCCATCCACCTCCGGGTTAAGTTAGGGGAATGAGTGAGATTTGCAGGTAGGAAAGGAGAGGACACAGGGAGTTTTCCTAAGAGAGAAACTCATCTGAAAGGGAAAGGTATCTTCTAAGGAAGTAAGGTGCTAATGCAGCAGGTATCACCCTGTCATGGGCCTGCCCCCTGACCCGCCTTAACACCCCTTTAGCTCACCTCTCCTTTTCACTTTGCAGAGGAAGGTGCCACAAGGGGAGGCACAGAAGTGCTCAAACAGTGCCAACAGCAGCCCCTCCCCAAACTCCAGCGACAGCGGGAATTGGTGGTTCAGCTGCCACACACAGTCCCGGAAGAGAAGGGTGGGTGCCTCGTGCTTAGGGCAGGCGTGGGAGAAGTCCAAGTGGGCACAGCACAGCTGGAAGGGGTGGCCGGCCTGAGGAAGCCTAGAGCAATGGACACCAGGAAGCGGGGTTTCTGGGTGGAGGGGGAGGGCTGGGCAGCGTGGCCACTTACCTGGATCCCCTCCTGCTCCACCAGTTCCCGGAATCCAGCCACGGTTCTGCTCACGGGTCCAGGATGAGTTTGGAAGACAGCGCCCTGCCTTCATCTCCATGTACCAGAATGCAGGCCCCTTCCCTGTGGGCTCAGGGCTTGTCAACATTGGCTAGTCCTTCCCTGCCTTGGAAGGCCAGGCAAGGAATAGAATGGTAGAGTTCTAGGCAGTATTTGCTTACTGAGATATGGTTTCGTGCCCAAAGATTGAGAGCCCTGCCCATCCTGCCCTGTTCTCTGCCTTGTAGGGTGGAGGGTCTTACCTTACCATTCCCTGGGCTGCTAGGCAGGCAGTGCTCAGTGCCTCCTTGACATGTCCCACCCAGCCAGCAGCAGCCTGCGAGTCGACTAAGCCCGCGGTCCATGCTCTGCTCCAGGTCCCCACAGGCCTCTCCCAAGCACACAAAGCTTTCCTGCAGGGGCCACCCCCCTGCATAAGTAGGAGTCTGTTAACACCCCCCCACAGGCCAGGCTCTGGTGAGCACAGCCTGGGAACAAGTGCTCCAGACCAAAGAGGAGCACCTTCAGAGGAGCCCACCTGACAAGAGGGACCCAGGACCCTTTGGGAAGCCCACCTAATCTATTGGAAATGATTCAGTATCCTTGAAGGTTCCCTAATCTGATGGAGGAGACCCATTCCCCTTTGGGGAGACCTATTCTGTTGGGGGGTACACAGCATTACCTGAGGAGGGGTCTCACAGTACTCTGAGGAAACACAGAATGCCCTGGGAAACCACCAATCTGATGGAAGTATCACGGTAGCCTTGAAGTACCCCAGTGCGATAGGAGGGGAACAGTGCTCCCTGGGGAGCACCATTCTGACAAAAGAAACATGACACTCCTGGGATTCTGGTGTCTGCTCCCACTTCCCCAAAACAGCCCTGCTGGAGATCACCAGTAACCTCCTGCCAGAAAATGGGTTTTTTTTAAATTTTTAATTACAGTTGACACAATATTATATTAATGTCAAGTGTATAATGTAGTGATTAGACTTTTATGTAACTTACAAAGTGATCACCCCATAAGTTTAGGACCCATCTGACACTTGAAATACAGTTATCACAGTATTATTGACTGCATTCCCTATGTTGCATTTTACATCCCATCTTTATTTTATTTTATATTTATTGATTTTCAGAGGGAGAGAGGAAAGAAGAGAGATCTATACAGAGAGGAACATCAGTTTGGTGTTCTACTTATTCATGCATTCTTTGGTTGAGTCTCATAGGATGCTCTGATCAGGGATTGAACCCACAACCTTGGTGTATCAGGATGATGCCCTAAGCAACTGAGCTATTCAGCTGGGGCTTGCATTCCCAGTTTAAAACCCTTCAGTAGCTCCCCACTGCCTTTAGGACAACGTCTAAGCTCATAATCATGGCATTCAAGATCTCAGCTCTGGCCCCTGTCACCTCTTTAGCCCCACTCTGTCTACCTCCACTTCACATGCTACTCTCCCACTATACTGAATGTTATTTGCAGTTCCCCAAACAGGGCCAATGATCAGGCTCCCAGCGCCTAAACACCTGCAGTGCTGTCCACATGGAATGTCGTTCTCCCACCCTCTGTAACTCCTCCTCCTTGCTCCAGTCTCAGCTAAAACATCCTATTCTCAGAGAATCTTTTTTCAGACCACCTATACTAAGAGAGAGGGGCTCCTCTGTGCTGCCGCTTATCATACTGAACTCTCACTGCCCACTGCCCATTTATTGCTGATCTCTCAGCCATGTCTGCACCAGCCACCATCTCAGGCTTTGTGCTCAATGTTGATTGAATGAATGAATAAACAGGGCTTTGTGTTCTGGACAGGGGAGCAGTGCACCAGTGCACCCTCTTCAAAGCACAAAACCCCCCTCAGGACCTCCTCTTGGTACGACCATCATCTGGAGACCAAGGTATAGATAAAGCTGGGCAGGTACAGTCCTCAGGGCAGGGGGCTGGGGCCAATGCAGAGGAGAAGTGTGTATGAGTGTGCTTGTGTGTGTGTCTGTGGTGAGGTTGTTCCTGGAAGACAAGTTTCAGTTTAATGTAAAGAGGTGCTTTTCCTTTCCAGCAGAGTCGGAGTGGGGTTGTGCAAGGGGGGATGCCCACCTGGCGGGTGGCTACCAGGAAACGCCTAACAGCCCTCAAGGGTCCTGTAAGCAGGCCCTTCCCCCTGCATTCCTCCTCCCCAATCCATGAAGAGTCCTGCAGAAGAGCCTGGGGGAGGGTGGGAAGCCCCGTTACCTCTCCAGGGGCCGGTGCTGCTGTTTCCAGCCAGGGTAGGCGGCCCTGGATTCCGTGCCGCCGCCGGTCAAGGAGGCCTGTTTGGCGGTCTGGGCCGAGCGAGTATCCACGATGAAGCCCGGGGTCCCAGGGCGAGCCCCCGCCTGCACAGCTCACAGCAGTTCCTCATCCTCAGCGCAGCGCCGCTTCTGCGGCCCCATCAGAGGCTGGCTAGGACGTAGCAGTGCCTGCAGACGGGGACTCAGCTCCGGAAGCTATACCCACCAGCCCTGGTTCAGGAACTTCGCTCAAAGAACCCCCGTGCCCGGTCTACACACTGGAGCGGGGCAGAGCTGGCAGTAGCGGGCTGGGGCACCAGGGCCTTACGAACAGAACTCTCAAGTCTCGGACCCGGGTCTGAGTTGCTGGTAGCAGATCGGGAAGGTACCCGAGGAGTAGACTGTGAGCAGGTCCTGGGTTGACAGCGAAGGGATTAGACTTCAGCGGCCAGGGGCGGGGCCCGGGAATTGAGACTCCGAAACCCGGGAGAGGGGCGGGGCCAGAATGGGGAACCTTGAAATGAGCAGGATGGGCGGGGCCTGTTGGAGGCAGCACCTGGCACTGCCAGAAAGGGCTGCAAGCCTGCAGCCGAGGCAGCAGCGGGGCAGCGAATTGCCCCGGCCAGTGCAGAAAAGGGCCCAGCAGGGACGCGGTTGGTCCTAGCGGCGAGTCCGGGGAGAGGTGGGATTCACGGTTCCGCGGGGAGCTTGGTGGTAGCTGAGCCCAGGGAAGCGGCCTCCCTGGCGGAAGCGGGCGCTGCGTGCCAGGGCGGCCTCGTCCACTGCACGAGGCACGATCACCACGCCGGGGTAACTAGGGCACAAGCTGAAGTCCTCGTTCACCTGACTCAGCCGCCACGCGTTGGTCTGCGGCGCAGGAAGGAGGGAAGGCCGGGTCTAGAGTACCCAGTGAGAGCCACGTCCCCGCTCTCCTCCCAAGCCCAGCCCTTCCACAGCCCCAGGCCCCCATGACCGCACCCACCCCGAGAACTACTCTCTTGTAGTAGCATTCGGGAGGGTGGAGGTGCCAGGCGTCGCCCAATCTCAAGCCCTTGGGACGGTAGAAGAAGGGATCGGAGGTGATGACCGATTCCAGGGAGGACAGCGCCGGGGAAAGGAAGTCAGGGGACCTGGGAAAGGTGGAATCATCTCACTCATGCCCTTCCAGCCCCTTGATTTCGCAGCTTCCGCCTCTCCAAGCACTGCAGAGCACTCTGCATCCCCTAGCCATCGGCTGTGCCCGGGGATAACACTGGCTGCTGAATACACTTGCTCAGTAGCCCTTGTTTACTCTCCTTGTTACAGGATAGGGGTAGCTTAATGACCTGGGGTGCACGGCGCACCTCGATGGGGCGGGCTGTGTCCAGCGTCCCTTTCGCACCCTCTATGTCCAGGTGTAGCTCGTGCAGGTCCTTACAGCGTAGTGTGATGGCACCAGAGTCACCCGCGACCCTAGGGATGGACGAGAATAGGCTTAGTATACCCCCCACCCCCACCCCTCAGAAGAGGAGAAAACAGTTTTATAAAAGTGTATCTAACGGAACAGCTCCAACTGTCTTTGCCCCTTCCACTCTCCCCGCGGAGGCGCGAGGTCCGCAACTCCTGGGTCGTCCCTTCCAAGCTCACCGTTTCTCGAAATAGTCGACGCTACGCAACAGCAGCAGCCACCACAGGTCTGGAGTCGCCTGGGGCTCTGGAGAGAGCAGCGGGTGGTGGCCGGTGACGCAAAGCGTGTCGCGCAGTGGGGGCGCCTCTGGGCCCCGCAAGAGCTCAGCTTGGGCCCGTTTAGTGCGGATCAGCTCCGAGAACTCTGTTCCGCCAGCGGTGGGCCTGCGGCCCAGCAAAAGGGCAGACTCAGGGACCGTCCGGCGGGGTAGGGCGCGCGGGCTCTGAAAGGGACAGGAACTGTCAGGGCAGCTGTTAAAGAGGCCCATTGGACGAAGGGATCACACAGTTGCAAAGGAATTTCCCCCTCTTACTGCCAGCACCTTTTAGCGAGAACCTCAGGCAGAACTTGTTAAGGAAACCTTAATTTCACCATCTGTGAAACGGGGAGAATAATCTTGCTTAAGCCCTTAACCTTGTACCTGATTCACAGGAGGCATTAAATGTGTTTGTTGTTTGTTTGTTTGTTTGTTTGTTTGTTTTTTGCTTCTTACCTCCCCACCCCCAGAATGTCTCACAAAACAGCAGAATATACCTCTGAATACCGGAGACAAAACCATGCTAGCTCTGTGAACTGTCTCTTCTCATTCAAATCCGTAAACTGCCACAGATTGACAGAAAGGGTATTTTTGATTTTTTAGACTGGAGTGCTGGCACCCTGTTGACTCAAAAAACAAAAAATACCATCTCTTCCCCTGGACCCTGGTGGAAGAGGTGGAAAGTGTGGGTGTAAAAAATTGGGAACTGTCTACTTCCTCCTTTACATTTGAGATTGGGTGGGGGAAATCCCTTGGTCCACCTTAAATACAAGCAGCTGTGCAGCTGACACCCCTCCCCCACCACAGCTGGAAGTCCCTGCAGGAGGGCTCCCTCTCTGGTGGCTACCCCTGGTATAGTCCAGAGTCTGGGGCCCCATCCCCTATCACTCCATCCTTTGACCAAATATGAATTGCCCATACACTGAGCTGGACTCTACATTTAGTGTTGGAACCAAAGAAGGACTGAATTCTGATCATAGAGTTTTCAGCCTGGCAAGAGTCACACTTAAACTGGTAATTTACATGAGAGTGAACCAGTTTGCTAGAGGATTCATCAATCCATCCATCCAATTATTCTTGCATTCCTTAAACACTGATGCCTACACTGTGTTCAGCACAAATCCCTTCAAATTAAAAAAAGAAAAAAAAAATCAGGCCCTGCCAGGGTGGCTCAGTTGGTTAGAGCATTGTCCTGATACACCAAGGTTGTGGGTTTGATCCCAGGTCAGGGCACATACAATAATCAACCAATGAATGCATAAAAAAGTGGAACAACAAATTAATGTTTCTCTCTCCCTTTCCCTTCCTCTCTCTCTCCAAAAATGTGATCAATTAAAAAAATTCATAGGTGGACCCCCATAATATAAACATAAAATTGGAAATACTATGTGGAAGAAACCAAACATAAAAGTGCAAATTATAAACTTCCAGACCAGTAGCAACTGCTGGGATGTGAATTTATTAGAAATGCAAATTATGCCACCCCTTCCCTACCCCACATGAGGCCTAGCAGCTTTTTTTTACAAAGAAATTTTTTTATAATTTCTTTTTTTTCCAAGATTTTATTTACTTATTTTTAGAGATGAATGGAGGGAGAAAGGGAGGCATCAATAGGTTGCCTCTCTCACATGCAGGCTCCCAAAGGGGAGGGCGGTTGTGGGGGAACAGGCCCGCATCCCAGGCATGTGCCCTGATCTGTAATCAAGCAGAGACCTTTCCCTTTGCAGGACGACACTCGGCCAACTGAGCCATGCTAGTCAGAGCCCAGCAGTCTTTTTTTAAACAAGTTTTCCTGGTGACACATGCTAAAGTTTGAGAACCACGAGAGAGTATTTTTATTTTTTTAAGATTTTATTTGTTTTTTAGAGAGAAGGGAAAAGAGGGAGAAAAAGAGGGAGAGAAAGTATTTTTAAAAAAGTCTAAACTAACCTGTGCTGTGAGAAATGAGGGTGGTATTACCCTTTGAAACGTAGTGACGGGCCAGGAGCACAAAGCATATACCGGCCTGAATGGTGGTGGTACAGTACACTGTTGCTTGATCAGGGTGCTGGTTACAAGCATGTTTAGTTTGGGAAAATTCATCAAGCCATGTATTTATGATATGTGACTTTTTCTGTTTGTATGTTATATTTCGTCACAAAGTTTACAAAAGGGAGCTGCTCTGGCTGAAGCCATGGGAGGGACCAGCCTAAAAGCCCATCCACAGCTGTGCCCTTATCCTCCACACAGTCCCTGAAAGATTCCCAAGGGAACCTAAAGTCCCTTAGAGCATAGCTTGAAATCAAAGATCTGTCCCAACAGAGAGTCAGTGACTTATCCAAGGCTCCACACAGCCAGCGCCAGAACCCAAGTCTCCTGATTCCTGGGCCAGGGCTCTGCCCACTTCCTTTGCTGAAGGGCCAGTGCCATGAGTGAGGACAGGGGCAGCTTGTCAGCTTCCAATCCCCTCTCCACTCCCTTACTTGGGTCTTGGGAAGAGGGCCAAGATACTGGTGTTGGTGAGCCTTTTCTCATCCTGGAGCAACTTCCTTTCTGGGAAACTGGGTGTCTCCTTCTGAGCAAAGACAATAAAATTCATCTGAGGGGCCAAAGGAGCAGGGCTTCTCCTGTCCCAAACGGATGGCATCACGTGGCTCCAAGGTCAGCAGTCCAGGAAAATCCCAGCCCTTGCACACTCTGTCTCCCACGCCCATCTACTCGCTCACCCTGACGTACTCAGCCACCCCAACCCACCTTGGACATTCACTGTCGCCTACTCCCTGGCACACTTCTTTCGCCCTCAGCTTCTGCCACCTCTCCGTGGGCAATATTGCCAGCCTTTCCCTAATCCCAGAGCTGCAGCCTTGTTCTGTCACTCACCCCAAACCTGTCCCTGTACCATGTCCCTGGGGCCACTGAAATTCCAGGCAGTGGGTGAAGAAGACGAGGAGGATGAGGAAGAAGAGAGCCTGGACTCTGTGAAGGCACTGACGGCCAAGCTGCAGCTGCAAACTCGGCGGCCCTCATATCTGGAGTGGACAGCCCAGGTCCAGAGCCAGGCCTGGCGCAGGGCCCGAGCTGGGCCTGGGCCGGGGGAACCTGGGGCCATCTGCGGCTTCGACTCAATGGACTCTGCCCTTGAGTGGCTCCGGCGGGAGCTGGTGAGTCTGGTGGGGTGGGCAGCCTTTCAGAGGGCCTTAGGTGTAATCCTCCAAGACCACAGGTGTGGAGCAGGGATGAGAAAGGACCCCAGCTGCAGCAACTGCCCATTCTTGTGGCTGTGTTCAGGCGCTGAGGAGCCAGGAATGCATTTATTCAGTGTTTTATTCAGGGAGACTTGCTGAAGGATTCCATTCAATCTATTGGCCTTGTGCTCCTGTGGTTGATGGGACAAAGCCTGCCTTTCAGGTCACCGGTTATAGATGGGGAGGGCCAGGGCTCCCCCACTCTGGGAATTGCTATACCCAAAGATACTGTGAAGTACAAAATGAGGCACTGACCACGCTGGAGGCAGAATCTGAGGAGGCGAATGTTGAATAGGTGGCTCTTAACTAGTACAAGTATCAAGAGGCCCAGGCTCCCAATTGGAGATTCCACTTAGTTATCTGGAATGGGGCCCCAGGCACCTGTTTTTGTTTAATAATGGCTTCGTAGCTTGTTTTTAGAACCACCTGGGCGGAGCAAGGACGGAGAGATGGGGAGGGAGGGGTTAAACTGGGATGAGAAGTGGTGTGGAGGACGCAGCCAGTGCAAAGACCCAGGGTGTTGACGGGAAGGAAAGAAAGGAACACAGCGCGGCTGAGGGCCGGTGCAGCCCGCTAATGCCCCCTCTCGACCGCAGCGGGAGATGCAGGCTCAGGACCGGCAGCTGGCGAGGCAGCTGCTTCGCCTGCGGGCCCAGCTGCACCGGCTGAAGGTGGACCAAGCCTGTCATCTGCACCAAGAGCTGCTGGACGAGGCCGAGCTGGAGCTGGAGCTGGAGCCGGGGGCAGGCCTTGCCCTGGCCCCTCCGCTGCGGCACCTCGGCCTTACACGCATGAACATCAGTACTCGGCGCTTCACCCTCTGCTGAGGGGAACCTGCGTGCCTACTGAGCCACCGGCTACCCTTTCCCCAGCCCACCTGGACAGGGGGAAGCAACGGGTGCCCCAGAGGCGCCAGCACCTGGCAGGGGTGGGGGTTGGTGGGTACACTCAGCTCTGGGAGCATCAAGCGCCAGCCAGCATCCTCTTCCTGCTACTGCCCCAGCTGTGTGACGGGAGGGGCAGCGGGGGTGGTGGAGTAGATTACAGGCCCCCAGGCTCCTCAATAAATACCCTCTCTGCTTCCCATCAAGATCTCTTTTCATTTTTTTGGGCCAAGGTCTCTGAGTGTCTTCTGTTGCTGGGACCAGGGTTTCCATTGCAAGAGAGAAGGTCAGGGTTGGGGGTAGACATGAACTAATCGATCCCCATCTCCACATCTCTAGCTCTAGCTTTCTGTCTTGTCAAGAGCAGAACTGGGAAAGAACTTAAAATCCTAAATGACCCCCGTGGAAGGTGACTTTGATAAATGGGTAGCTGAAGAATGCGGGATCTGAGAGACCCAGATTCAAAGCCAGCCCCGCCATTTATTTCCATCAGACCTTGAGGCGGTCCCTTAATTTCTGAATCTGTTTCTTTACCTCTAAAATACAAGTGCTAGTTCTTACTCCACAAGTAGGTGGACATATCTTAAGTGAGATGATGAGCAGCAAGCACTCTATAAATGTAAACTTTCAATTGCTAATCATTACTATCACCAGTGGTATTACTATGGTGCTCAAGTCCAGAGATTTCCTGCAAAGTGCTTAGGCTCATAACAAGGGGGGAGCTAGCTGGCTGAGGCCTGTAGCCCAGACTCTGGGCTCTGTGTCATTGTAGTTTTTGAAACTTTGTATCTCTTAGCTTTTGTTTCTGTGTTACCCTCTTTGTTTGACTTTCCAACTCAGGCTTCCTCTTCCCCCCACCCATTTCCTGTCTCCCCCTTCTCTCAGGCAGCTGAGGTGCACACAGCATCAGCTTCCACCTCAGAAACCCCAACAATGCTTTGTGGGCTCCCTTCCCCCAACCTGCTCACTCAGTGTAGCTCATGGGCTGGTGACGCATTCATACTTTATTCTGGGAGGGGTTAAGGCTCTTGGGCCACCAGCAGTTTCTCATAACACTATGACCTGGCCCTCAGTCTATGATGGGCGCTACTCTCCGTGTGGCCACAGGTTAAAGGGAAATTCTTGACCAGCTTGCTGTTCGAGACAAGGTTCCTGACTCCTGCTTATAACAGAAAGAGCTGCCAGTCTGCTGCCTGCACCTGGGTGCCCGGGAAGGGCTGTTTGATCTGTCTTCCACTTGTTGCAGGAGATGGTGCCAGGCCCCGCACCTTTAACAGGGTCTATGGCCTTGCCTCTACCTGAACTAGAAGTGATCCCCTACTCTCCGACCCTAATAGTGAGTGTTGTCCTGCCGCTTCCTTAAACAGCTTGCTGTCCAGCATTCTGTCTGTCAGGAGTGTTAGCCTACCCTCTGACTATAATAAAGCTATTGTCCTCTGCCCTGAAATGATATAGCTGTTATTTTGACTGCAGCAGTCACGTTAGCCTGACATCTGACTATCACCAACGACTTAGCAGGGATATTGGACTCTCCTCTGACTCTGAAGTGATGTTTCCATTGCCTCAGATTGTAATGAAAGGGTCCTTCAGCTCTCAGACCGTGACGACAGTGCTTCTCGTCTTTCTCTGTCAACAGTGTGTGTCTGCTTGCCTCTGTTCATTGGGGTTTAAAGTCTGCCCTTGACTCTCTTGTCCAGGTACACCCTGAAGGGCAAGTGGGAGAATCCATCAAATGTCTTCCCTTCTCCTCCAAGTGCCACCCTCAGCGTGAGCAGGGCTAGGCCTGGGGATGTACAGGACCCTCAGGCACTGAGGGATGGGGGGATATGGTGGCAGGAAGCTTGGGGTGCTGGAGGCTTGTGGTTGGGCTGCTGGGGCCCGGTTGGCTGCAGAGCCCTTAGGAGGAGGCAGGAAGTCAGGGTGGGACGTGGGCGCGAGGAGTCAGGTGGTGGCTACGACGGCGAGGGGAGCTGAAACTGTCTGGGCAGCCAAGCTAGGCCAGGAGGACCATGTGAATGGGGCCAGAGGGCTCCTGGGCTGGGCAGGTAAGGAGTGCTGGGAACAGGGGTCCAGGGCTGTGGTGGGGGACCTGACAGCAGGGGGCTTCATTTTGGCATGGGGCCAGGCTACCTGGGTATGCAGCAGCCCCTGAGGCGAGGGGACAGAAGAATCTTGCTGGAGGTCAGGCAGGAGGCGAGAGCTGCAGCCAGATCCTCTTTCCTCCGCGGTTGTTGGCTCTTGGTTCTGCCACGCTGCCCACGGTGGGCCGCCACCTCACTGGGAGGTCTAGCACATGGACTGTCAGGTATTTAAAATGCCTTCAGAAATCACCAAGTCCAGTGCTCACTTTGGCAGCACATACACAATCCCCAAGTCCAGTCCTTCGTCCCATGATGGATAAGCCACCTGACACCCAGAGAGGGCCAGACACCCGCTCCCTAGAGTCTCTCAGCAACGCAGTCGCAGAGCCGGGGCTTGGGAAGGAGTGGTGGTCTAGGCTGTGAGCAACCATGGAGCAGGGTAATGGACAGGCTTGAGCCACGGGACGCGGGAGTCGTTCTTGTTGCTGGGGGAGACCCCACTGACAAAAATCTCATGAGAGCCATCAGAGTCACCCAGAGCATCCCGGTGGACACGCGTGAGGTAATTTTAGCCTTAGTGGCCAGCATTGCCTGAGAGAGGGAGGAGTCTCCCTTTGGGAGTGGATGGATATGTGAGAACATATTTATCATCTGGGATGGGGCCTCCAAGGCGGAAATATCTGACCGGAAGCTGTGAAGTTGGCGCGGAGAGAAAGAGGGGAGAGGGAAAGGAAGGGCTATTTTTATCCCAGACAGGGATGCGGTTGGCCCTGGATGAGGAACGTCTGAACTTCCATCTGGAAAGTTGCCATTCCTGCCCCTGCCAAGTGTTGGGGATGCCCTCCCCTCTCCCCTCGCTTGCTCGCTTCCGCACAGTGCCTCCGCATGTGTAGGGCCAGTTGGTCCTGTGGATTCCTGCTTCAAACCCCAGTAAGGAGGAGGCCCAGGAAAGCATATTCAGCGACCTGCCCACCCCCTCACTGTCTCTCAGCTTTCAGATTATGGGGGGAGTCCCCACCTGCCCAAGACTCTCCAAGTTTCGCCTGCCATTGGAGTTTTTCTTGACACACAGTTTCCATCTAGTCAGCATATCCCAACCTTTCTTCTGTCCCTAGCTCCGAGACCCGCGGCCTTTTGTGGGGGTCAGGGAACACACCAGCTTGCCCTGCACTTGAGGATAAAGTGCACTGGCTCTCCCTGCACACCCTGGACAGGATAAGCAGCCCACCAACGCCCCTACCAGCCTCTGCTGGTAGATGACTCAGGGCTGAGGGTTGGATGTCCTTCTCAAAGGGAAAAAGGGCCAAGTGATGTGGCAAAAGGATAGGCTGAGGGTTCAGAGGATGGGAGAAGACATCACTTGGGCGATTTGGAGGAGACTTCCCGGAAGAATCAAGGCAGTTATGAGAAGGACAAAAGCTTGTTTTGGAGAGTACCCAAAACGTGAAGCCAAGGTCACTGTCCCGGCGTTCTGTTCCTTGGGTACCTTGAGAGCAGAGGCCTCAGATCAAAACCAAATGCAAGGGAGCTGGTGTGAAAAACACGCGTTTCAGAGGCAGGCAGTCCCAGGTGCAATTCTGGTTCTGCCATTTTCTTGAACAAGTGTTTTCATGTTTTCACCTCTCCAAACTCCAGTTACTCATCTGTAAAGAAGCGACAATGAATTGCTGCCTTACAAAGTGCTTGTGGCTACTTGAAGAGAAAATACTGACTATGCTATGCTGTGGGTAATACCTGACACATAGTGGGTGCTAAACAGAGGTTTGGTACTCTCTCCTCCCTCAAGTGTGCACCAAAGGGAGGGCAGTCCACACCCAGAATTTCTCCTGCTCAGCACTTGGCAGGCCAGCGAACCACCCATTCCCTCACGCATGTGGTGTGGCTTTGCAAGTGAGCTTGTTTCCTGAGTATAGTGGGTGTGAGGATAGTTGATTAGGCTACAGGTTTACCTTAGAAAAGGGTCCCCCACACAGCTACACACACACACACACACACACACACACACACACACACACGCACATACCCTCTCTATCTCAAACACCATACATATCATCATTGGAAAATGTACGTATGCGTGTATGTTCAGAGGCAGAGGTGGGGACTACACGTACAACACACATTGGACCCTATAAATCCATACACATACTCACAGGCTGATGGCTTCAAGGCCAAGCTTAATTCAGAGAAAACAATGCTGAGAGAAGCTGGTGTGTGGGCGGCATGGGGACAGGCAGGTCCAAGATACCATCCACGGATGCGGCCTCCTCTAACAACACACTTCGATGTTGGTTTCAAAGTATCTGGAGGTGCATTTCCAGTGCTTGTTCTAAACAATGCTAGTTCTATGAGGCGCCTGGAAAGAAAAGGGTTCTGAGGTCATATAACGTGGTCTCAGCTACAGACTTTCCTCTATTAGCTTCATGGTGAACATGAGCTTGTTGAAGTTCTGCCAGTCCCTCCTGAGAAGAAGACAGATTGATTTGGTCTGACCCAGTGCTCCCTAAACTCCCTTGATCGCAGAACCTTTTTCTTTCCCAGGATTACTTCTTCCATGCCTATTCCTTTTGAAACAAGGAAAGGAATGGAAGGGTGGGCCACAGAGTTGATCCTCCTCAAATGATTGTGTCACTTAGCAGAATGTTTGCATTGGTGATGGTCTTGTTGTTTTTTGTTTTTCAAGTACAAAATTAGCACAGGGTTTGAATTTTAAAAATTCAAATGCTATAGAGGCATATAAAGATTTTATTTATTTATTTTTAGAGAGAGGGCAAGGGAGGCAGAAAGAGAGGGAGAGAAACATCGATGTGCGAGAGATACATTGCCTCTCACATGCCCCCACCTGGGGACTTGGCCCACAACCCAGGCATATGCCCTGATTGGGAATCGAACTGGCAAACTTTTTGGTTCACAGGCTGGTGCTCACTCCACTGAGCCATACCAGCCAGAGTTTGGTACACAAAGAAATATAAGAAATGAAGCTCCCTTTGATCTCACTCCTGGAAGATGTTCACTGTGGACAACCCAGTGTCCATCCTTCCAGAATTTC